TTCTGTATTTTACATTATTTTATGATCTATGCCTCAATATTGTCCTTTTGTTATTATGATTTTTTTTTTTCGTAATCGTTTACTAATTATATATTTTTCATTTTATAAATTATACAATTGTAAATTAATTACAAGATTTAAATAAAGGTTTCAAGTTTTTCATTATAAATTATATATTTTTTGATTGTTAAATTGTATATTTTTTTAAATAGAGTTTTTATACAATAAAATTTTTAACATTATAATCTGTATAAGAAACCTATAATTTTTTTTTTAATTTGTAGGTTTCCCACATGTATCTACAATCAACACCCAAATACAAAGCGCTAGCCAATAATCATTCGTGTTTCCAAATATGATATTTTTATTTTCATATTTATGCATTTAATAAGTGAAAATAAAAATTAAGATGTAATAGGGTAGTAGATATTATTATTTTCCAATGATATTAAGTAAAAATGGATTTATATATTAATCTCTAATTTTTATAAAAAATTGATTACAATTATTAAAAAATTGAAAATTATTTTTAAAAAAAGATTAAAAGTAGAAATTGGATCATATAAAAGGATATAAAAAACTTTTATATAGCTTTTACAATTATACTGTAAAATTAATTTTTGGTTGATTAATATTCATTTTAAAAATTTACAGCTTAAATTACTAGTCTTTTGGTGAGAACCGATAATGCATCAAAATAGAAGTTTAGATATTCCAAGGTTAACTTGACCTGGGCTTCGTCGATAAAAAGATGCAGAAAACGTCCAAAAATTTACTTATAAATTCTCTGCAATACAAGGAATTGTTATCCATCGGTTGATCATGTTCTGTATTTGATCAAGAGTTTGAAAATATAAATTTCTAACACATAGGCATTATTTGGTATATGAAAAGAAATAAAATAAGGATTATTAACAACCAAAAGAAAATAATTTTAATATAAATAATATTTATGACAATGGTCTTGTTGCTTGATTTATGAATAGTTTATTATTGATATCCAACTCATTAAAGCAAGACTCGAAAACAGTGTCTTGTGTTGCAGAGAATTTATAAGCAAATTTTTAGACATCTTATGGGTTTTTTTATAGATAAAGTCCGGGTCAAGGTAATCTTGAAAAATCTCTTAACTTCTATTATGATGCATCCTGGATTCTCACGGACTTAGTCTAAATACCAGGTAATTTTAACTATTTCCTTTCTAATTAAGCACCAATTGGTAATTTGGGGTTGTAAAATTTTAAAATAAAAATTAAAATTTACAGCATAATTGTAAAAGCTATATAAAAATTCTTTTTTTGAGGGCATTTTAAGTTTTAAGATTAATATGAGGGAGGAGGGGGGGGGGGGGTTTGGAGGATATACAGATAGCCAAAGGATTTAAGATAAAATGAATGGGGTTTATTCAAATGACGAATTAAGGCCTAACCTGTAATATATTTCATTATTTTGAACTACAGAATTTATACTTATCGATAATGATTAGTTACTAATCAATTCGAATAGGCCAAATAGAATCATATCAGTTTGAACACAAACAATTTTATTAACCTTTTATACTTACTCACTACTGTCCATCCTTTTTTTCAATTATATATTCTAGTAATAATTCAAATAATTACCTTGACTTTTAATCTCATTTTAACTCTTTTTGAAAAAAAAAATTAATTCATTAATAGCAACCTTAACCCACTCACCTAAATCAATCATCATTATTGAAATTTTGTTTTATATACTTTTGAGAGGATCAAATTACCTCTATTCATGCATGTTAAATCTTCGGACTACGATCTTCTTCAAAAGCTAGTTAATCCTTATCTAAATATTTTCTCCATCCTTTATCCGCTCAATGGCATGGTTAACCTTCATAGTGATAGCCGACTTTTACGATCAACCTGATACCAGTAATGGCAAATAACAGACTCACTGGCCTTTACAATCAGGGGGTTCAACTTTAATAAATTTTTCAAAATTACCTAATTTTTAGCTCGAGTCCCTACCCCCCCCCCTTCCACACTTTCCATTTGGTTGTTTATCAATTTGTATTTCATGACTATATGTCGACCTAGGTAACGTTATATAATCATCAGAGACATGCAACCATTTGCACGGCCCGGTCCGGATTTATTTTTTAAAAAAAATTTCGGTCCTGCCCATATTTTATTTACTTTTTTTAAAATTTCTTTTAAATATAGTATATATTTTTTTAATTTTTATAGATAACAAAGGAGATTTAAAATATTTGGTTTTAAAATATCCCGGTCCCTTTATTTAAAGTGAAAAATATTTTTTAGGTCAGATTCGTGTATATTCAAAAATATTAAAATACAGCCTGGCCCCTGTACCGGGCCTGGCCTGAGGTCTCTGATAATCATTATGAGTTCATTTAAATGATGTAAGCTAGTAATGAGTTTATTTAAATATTATAATTTTAACCGATATATTATGGTTTAAGAGATGAAATATATTATTCATTTAAAGGTTTGGGAACTAATATTAAAATTAATTAAATATTATTTAAGTTTTAAAATATTGTTAGTTTTATTGAAGTAATAAAAATATCTGATTTTATTTTGGTTGCCATAGCCAGGATTTTCCTAAGAGTTTTTTTTGGGGGGGGGGGGAGAATTAAAAAATTATTGGGGGCTTCGCCCTCAGACCCCCTTTTGGGCGGGCCGATATAGTCATAAAATATTTTTACAAGATAGGAGGTTAATTTTAATAAAAAAAATAAACCTGGAACAAATATGGAATAAATTTTTATTAGTTTATATAAAATATAATAAATTACTTGTATATACATTAATATAAAAGCATGGTAATAATTTCCAAACAAGTATAAGAAATTTATTTAGAAAAAGTAAGTAGGCATATAGTTGATAATCCTCTATTATATAGAATTAGTTACAAAATACTAGGTAAAATTCCACTTTTACAGACATATTTGACAGTTAGAGAATATATTACAGTTAATATTTTAATAAATTTTACTAATCAATGCTCTTGATAATAAATATAGCAACAATTTGCATTCAATTATTTAACGCCATCTATTTATTTTAAATAAAATATTAAAAATTAATCTTCATATTATTTATCTCACACTCACAATGTCTTTAAAAGATATTTTCTGATGTCCTTATCAATATTTTATATTCTGTAAAATATATAATTCGCTATACTGGTAAAAATTACTTGATTGTCATATGATAATTGATAAAATTAGATATACTGAAAATCTACGACATATAATATTCCACTGTTTGTATTGTCCTTTAATCTTTTTATTTAATTTATGATTTAATTTTATCAATAGTTTTATAATTATATTTTACTTTTATTAAGATAAATAAATTAAAATTACTCACTTTATAAAAAATTATATTTAATATATTATATTATTTAATAATTTTATGGATCTATTATTAATAATTATAATACATTTAACTTTTGTCTTAAGACTTATCTTATATTCCATTTCTTAAAAAGCATTTTTGGTTCACTTTTTTTTATATACAAATGCTTTTTTCCAAAAATGTATAAATTATGATGAATATTTTTATAAAAAAATATTAACTTTTACATTCTTTCTTTCAAATTATTGTTTAAGGTATATGCATACATTTTTGGGGGTTAGGGAGTGGAAGGGAGGACTAAGGGGGATATTTTTATTAGCTTAAAATGATATCCACAAAAAGTGATAAATTTCTGAATGGGGGGGGGGATTTCCCTTGCCCCCCCCCCTGGCTACGACTATGTTTGGTTGGCATTGCTTTTGTAAACTAAGAATATACTATTATTAGTCCCGCACCTAATTATGTATGCATATTTTTAAAATAAATAATTAATATTGCATCTAGATTTGTAAAAAGAAAAAAATAAATGCCTCAAAGTAACGTTAAAATAAAAAGGATACATTTCAAACAGCTAATTTTAAATATTTATATATAATATTATTATTAAACACCTTGGCAAGTTCTATGAGTCCTTCTATTAATCCGATCAATGCTACGATTGATAAATGATGAATTTAAAACTGTAGGACCAGGGGATTAGAATATATCGTCTCCCGAGAACGAATCCGAGTCAACTACATGTAGGACATAATCGTTTTCGGCCTCTGGGTCACCTAAAGACATTTGATCTATTCAGGAAAAGTATAATATTAGGGGATAAATGGATGGGAGAATACCCATTTAGAATGTAATTTGTAGGCTTTTAATGATTTTTATTTTCACAGTAACACTAAAGGGAATCATATTTGCTGTTTACGATTCTAAGATATTAGTATGGTCGGCTTAAAGTAAGAGAAGGGTATAATATTTTTTTTATATCTGAAAATAGATTAAAAGGGTGTTTGCCATTATACTAATTTAAAACTAGGAAAGGAAATAGAAAAATATAAAGGTCTAAATGTATTATTTTGAACAGAAATTAATGATATTATGTTTATATTCTTGAAATTATTCAATAAATAGGTAAAACAAAGGGATAAGTAACTATTACTATTTTCAAAATTGGGCTTAGTATGATATGAAATGTATTAATTTCTTACAAACTAACCCTATCCTATATCAGGCTTATGAAAATAATGATATTCACATGTCTCTCATTACCCAACAATCATTTTATCCTAAAACTATATATTTTTAGCTTTAACAAGACATTTTTTTGCAACAGATAAAATGACGGTATTAACTGGTATTGTTAAAATAACTAGTTACTTATAACTAGTTACATTTTTGTTTAAAACTTTAACTAGTTATATTTTTTGAAATGTAACTGCCAAAGTAACTAATTATTTCTAAAAATATGTATGTATAAATCTAATAATATATTCAACTAATTGATTTTATTTTTAATATGCGAATTGATCATTTATTAAAAGAATATTAAAATTATAGTTAACATACTCTATCTATATTCTAAATAAAAATATATAATTAAAAGAAGAGAAATTAAAAAAAAATAAAATTATATATTTAGGTTTGGTTGGCGGAGCTTAATGGTCAATATATAGATATACAGTTGGATCGACAAATTTCGTTTGATATTCCTTCTTTTGGATCACCTGTGATTAAACGTAACCTTTGCCCTATTGTTTTGAATAATTTTAGAGCTTGGGGTCCAAATGATCCACAGGTGTCTTGAGACTATCAGAACAAAAGATTATTAAGGTGGCTATATTTATTTGTTTTTATATTTTCAACTTTTGAGATGGAGGTGACAGAAAAAGATCTGGCAAAACGATCTACACATGTATTATCCAAAACGAGGGGTATATCTTGGTTCCAAGGGACTAGCGTTGTGATAAATTAATTTTAAATTATTTTTATTTATTTTAAATTTTGTTTAAATATCTGATTGTGTTTGCAAAGGATATCCAACAATAATATAATTTCCCGTAGAAATATATTTTTTTTCTTAAATTGTTACATTGCTGGGTTTCTAATTTTGTAACCAAATTTATGTAATAAACCTATTTTTAATATTATATCACCAATTTAGCGCAATATATTCCATATTTTTTGATTATTTTATAATTAAATAATTGTTGTAAATACTAAATTAGTAATCATTACTTACTAATAAGGAAAGGCAAAGACTATGAAAGAAAAACAAAATATTATAATGCAGATATCAAATATTCCTTCAACATTAATCAAATATCCTTTATTCTATAGGCTAATTTAATTTTTTTTTTGAGAATTGGGGAATTATCTAAGGTAATTTTGTCCTAGTTCTCTTGTCCAAGATTTTTTTGCCTTCTAAAAAATAGGTAAGTAAATCCATGATCTAAAGTGTTCAAATTATACAAAATGATACATATATAATTAAATAAGATATAAATTTTCTAATACCTTTCCTTTATTATTCTTCTTATTATCACATTTTCTTGACAAAAAAACTCCAAAATTATAAAATTCTATTATAAGCTATAGACTTGGATGCTGATAAAATAACATAAAAAAAATATAAGTTTAAAATAAATATTTGCAACAACTGCATATATAAATATTATATTTGCAAATATTTGAGTGAAAAAATTATTAATTCTTAATACAAATCATAATTTGAAACCCATTTTTAGAATTAATAGACCATTTTAAAATTTATAAGAATCAGAAAGTAACTTATAATCTAACTAATTACTTTTAAAATATAACTGTAACTAATAACTAGTTTTTTTCTAGTTAATAGTTACAGTTATATTTTTACCAATGTAACTAGTTGTTTCAAAAGTAATTTTTAACAGCACTAGTATTAACCTTCATCAAATATTATATTTTTCTATATTCAATATACGTTTAATAGAGAATATCTACTCCCCATATTTCCCTACTCATATTTACGATACGAGTCATAAAACAAAAATAGCTTGCAAAAATTCAATGTAAACATAAAAAGTTTCGAGTAATGAACATTTTTTAGTAGTCGTTTACACAATTTTCGATTTGTAATACCTTTTCAATTATTTTAAGTCACTGACATTTCTGTACCACTCAGCAAATATTTAATTTGAGCAATACCGCTTCTTTCAGTGCTAAAAACATAGGAATTTATGTTAGCGACAATGTGTTTTTCCGACAATATGTTTTTTTTCAACTTTAATATTTTTTGAGCATGTTTTTTTTATTTTAAAAATTGTGATTTCACCGGAAATATATTCCAGCTTGTTTAGAATACCTATTTTATGAATTGTAGATAATTAGAGCGTTAACTTTTGAGTCATTTATAATTTATATAAAAAATTTAAAACTAATATAAATTATATTTGAATTCAAATGTTCAGAATTAATTATCTTAAATTGATAGGGTAGGTATTCGGAACATGATGGAATACATTTCCAGTATAATCAGATTTTTAAATTTATAAAAAAACGCTCAAGAAATTATTTAAAGTCGAAAAAATAACAATATCGGAAAAATCACATTGTCGCTAACAACGTCATATATATTGCTTCATTTTATATAATTCGTGCAGAATTTATTAATTTTGTATTTGTAATATTTTCATAGAATCGATAATTGATAAGAATTTTTTAAGTCTCCTTAAATTTTGTGAACTATTTTATTTAAAAAAAATTTAAATATATAACAAAAGATAATAATTTAAAAATTGAAAATTTACAAGAAATAATTAAAATGTTATTGAACAATAGGGATGTTTTAACCGAATTATCTAGTCGATATTTATTCCTTAGAAAACTTTTCCTTCGTCAAACTCAAAACCTTAATCTCAATAAAGTAAATATATTTTTTATTTATCTTTCCGTTCTATATCTATGCTATTTAACAATGTTTTTAAAGTTTCTATTAGTAAAGCGCTATATCTTTTTAGTAACGATGCTACTTTTATAAAAAAAATAGTTAAACAATAGCTACTTATTTAACTACTTTAAAAAAATTTTAATTAATATTTTAAAATGATGAATATAAACTAATTTTTATTATTTTATTTATAATTTATTATATAAATACATGGATATATTTTAAAAAATTAAATTTATTCAAACAATCTTTTCACTTCTATCATCCATTTATTTAATTTTGGAAGATGCCATCTTTTTCGTAATCATGGATATTCATCGATTTAATTTAGATATTTTATATAGGAATAGGCAAAACAAAGAGGTGATGCTTGAGATAGAAATTATAGAACAAGCTCCAAAAATATTTAAATTTGATGGTTTTAAAGGTAAAGGAAATCAAAATACGGAAACTTTATCAGTTACATGCAAAGCCAAAAAATAAAACAATTAGGGTATGAAAACCTTCCTCTTACAATCTAAAACTACATTAAAAGGTATGAATAATTATAATAAATAATAATTACAATAAATAAAAATTACATAATTAATATAAAAGTTGAAGACAATCCCTAAAACTGGCTAAACCAAATCAAAAAATTAAAAAAAAAATGGCCCATTACTTCAAAATATTTACCTGACAGATGATGGGAAAGAATATATTGACAGAAAATTATTTTTTTAAGAACACAAGTCATATTACCTTATCCCAAAAAATGTTCTATTAAAACTAGAGATGAACTCAATAACTAAGGATAAACATATCCGTATATTAGCTTATGTAACTTCAAACTCAACTTTAAAAAAAGTCAACTAATAAAACGATAAAATCTGTGTTCTTGAATTTTTTGATGATATTTTCAATGAGGTTGAAAAATAACAAATTTTTTGAGATCATTCCTATCGGATCTCACAATATTTAAATAGTTCCCTCTTTTTAAACCACTTTTCATAAAATATAATACTATTATCTCATCCATTTCTCCTGTAGAGAAATTATTTAGTATAGGAAAGGTGTAATTGGTGAAAAAAATATGTTCTTTTCTAGATGAAAACGGAGACATCTTCTCTTAAAAGCGATTACAAAATATGCTATATATAACAAATAGTATAATAATAATAAGTGATATTATTATTATATTTTGAATTTAATTTACAATTGTAAAAAAAATGTACAATTGGGGCTGCAATATTTTATTTACTCGCCCATACTTATGAGAAAAAATTTAAGATATTTAAAAAATAACTTTATTCCTTCTATTTAAATGTATGAAATAAAATTTGATCAAGAATTTTTAAATTATTAATAATTAGTTGATTGTTTTTGCTAAATTTTTTATTTAATTTGTGGTATTTATTTGTTTGTTGAAGAACGAATTATACCGTTCATTATTTCAATTTGAATTATTTATTTATTGTTAATATATAATGCAAAGAAAAGAGAAAAAAAATAATTATTATCATTTTTCTTTTTTGGTAAAATTTGTCGAAGAAAAAAAATATCATTAATAAATAAACAGTAATAGAAATATATCATTGTTGACTTAAATTGAGTAACTTGAATATTATTCCATTCCAGTTATTAAAACATAATGATATTAAGTGTAGGCTGATATTTTACAGGAAGTCCTCTTAAGTGTCATATATTTATAGCAAGCCCTATCAAAAATAAGATATTTTAGCAGTGGTGGCCAAGACGAGGCGAATACGGTAAAAGGCGTGGATAACTAATATAGTAGAAAAGCGTTGTGTACTATGATTAAAAAATTTAAGATGAAGTTGAACTATTATTTCCGGGAATAATTAATAATCTTAGAAGTGGTGGATGTATATGTGTATCCAGTGGCGTAGCTACGGGGGTGGTTTTCGGGTTTGGACCCCTCCCAGAGCAAAATTTTTTTTGAGATTATACGTTCAAAAGACTTAAAAGTGATTTTATATGAATTATATTTTTCTGGTTTTGATGTTATGGAAAGATATTATATTACTATATAAATTATTCTGGATAGTATTATTATAAAGTCATTGAGAATAATCTACTAAATTATAATAACATATTATTGATGCATTTAAAAAAATATATTTATTATATATTATCGAAGATATGGTTATGATTTGTAAGATAAACCCGGCCGAAGGCCGGGCAAAAGGGCCGAAGGCCCGTCAAAGGGGTCTGGGGGGCGAAGCCCCCAGCTTTTATATGTATGGACCCCCTCTAAGGAAAATTCCTAGCTACGCCACTGTGTGTATCGTTGAGCTAGGGCTATTTACATTATAGATATTATCATATCTATTGACGTTACAAATAACCAAAATATTTATTTTGAAGTTGATCTAAAATTTTTTTATAGTGTGAAGATAAAGAGTTTAAAATTTGTTGGGAAGTTCAGTACAATATTTTTGAAGCGTTGATCGTGTTATTAATATGGATGTGTAGTTTAATATTGAGAAGAAGGATTTGGAGAAGTCGAGATGTAAGAATAGAGTCAAACATTGAAAGGTAGAGGGACAGAGTGGAGAGGGGGATGTGATGGGAAAAATAAGTGGTTACCAGTTCAGGAGTCAATCAAAGGATGGGCAGATAGTGATTTAGGAAATTAGTCCATAGAACTGAATGGTGGGATTTACTATAATAATCAAATATTGGGGCCGTATAGAGGACCGAGAGAGCAGCCGCATACTAAGAGGACTCCCTGTAAAATATCAGTAGCCTTGCTGGACTAGGGCTACGTCCTGGTTTAGATAAATATAGTAAATACTATTTCACATTATCATTCTTCATATCATTATCATCAGAAATAGTCAATCGAATTTTAAAATTACCTCATCATCGAGTTCCAAGCTCTTAGATTTTTTTATGTAATTATATTTTATTTTTTATAGATTTATGGAGACTGGTGCTCTTAAAGCAAATATTTTGAATTTTAATATAGTTTTTATTTTTAGGAATAAATATATAGCATTATATGGTCTCCCTCATTGCTTGTAAAATATAACCAAGCTTCCATATACTAGAATTTAGTAAAGGTCATGTTTCTTCCCAACGACCCTCTGTTAGAGGGCAATCCATAGGGCAAAATGTGAAATATTAGACTATAAAACACAATATTTTATTCCTATGAAATCAATATTAATTATTAATATTATTTTTAAATAAATTATTCATTTTAATAAGGATTAAGGATATATTATGTATACTTATAGTATAATGAACCATTTTGGGCATTAGTATGTTCCAAAACAATTTAAACTGCTCATTCTTCACCTTTATTCTATTACTTTAATATCTTTGAAAACAGGGAACAAACATAGTGCCAACTCTTTTTTATTTTTTGCCTTTTTAATTCTATTCTTTTTACTTAATAATAAATAGGCTATATTTGTAAGACAATGCTGTTATAATTTCAGTAATTACTGCCATGTGGATTAGGATATAAAATATAGGAAGAAGAACAATAAGATTATTTAATTTATATGAAAAGGATAGATTATATATCCATGATATCATAATTGAAGAAAATCATCTACATAGGCTATATAAGATTGGTAATAAGCTCTTTTGTCCACCTATTTGCCCTCTTACTGAAATTATCGCCTTTATAATCTTTCATCTATTAATTGCAGTCTTGAAACAAATTGGATAATAATTTGCATTTTACTTACTGCCGTATAAGCCTCGGAGTAATATTGCTTCATTCTTTTAGGTGGGCCAAAGCTCGGGACTAAGTTTAATCAGGAAGGAATATATCACATAATTTTAATAAAATTTAAAAGAAATATCCAGAAGGTTTTTGATGAAAAGGTGGTCATAAATTGTTTTGAATGAGGAATCACCATTTCTAAATAAACATATTTAGCAGAGTTGTTAAAGTATCTAGATAAAATACAAAAATGTGGTACCTGTAGCTTGATACACTTTAAAGGCATCTATATCGGTATCTAGACACTATTTTTAGATATCTGTTAGATACAGTTTAATATAATTTTATTTTACATTAAAAATAATATTTGAGTTAAATTCATTAATAATATGTCCGAGTTTATTTCATTACAAAAACAAATTTTATTTTACGCAATGGATGACGACATCAAGGTAAATTTTATATTATAATTTTTTTTAATTAATTTAAGAAATATATATCATAATGTTTAAACTAATATTTCTAGACAATCTCTGAAAAAATCAAATAATCTAATATAATATTTTTTTGGGCACCCTTTAGATGATACAAGTTTTGATACTCACCAAATTTTGAGTGATTTTTTTAAAAATGAGTGTCGGAATTTTAATATTTTTAAAAATATAACAACCACTGTGCTGTCAAGGGCCCCAGTAGAAGGAGTTTAGGGTGGCTATAAATGTCTTTACAAATAAAAGGAGGTGCCTTAATGAAAATTTAAAAAAAAAATTTAACAATGATTTTATAATCATTTCTTATATATTTTGTAATGTAATATATTAAAATCTAACGATCATTATTTTAATTATATACTAGGTGCGATATCAGCTCAATAAATTTCTAGTTAACTTCTAGAATCTTAATTATCAAGATACGTTGATAAAAATGTATCTGTTACTAGATTCATTTTAGACAATGTATCTCTACTAAATTTATTTAAAAGTCCTTATAAAAACTATTATAAAATAAGTCATCCAATGTAAAAGGAGCTCGTTCCGTATTTTAAATAAGCTCATCCTCAGTTGAAAAATAATAGTCCAAGGCTTTTTCCAAGAATAGAAATGTTGTCCTTAAAACTTCAAATTGTACCATACTAAATATCGGGTATTATTTAAAAAATTGTAACCTTTATTCTTAATTTTATATTTAAAAGTTGTATTTGATTTTTTATTTATTTCATTTATTTATTTGGATAAATTTGAAATAACATTTTTAATATTATTGTTCAAACCAAAATATTCAAAACACATATAAAAATATAGATAATAATGATGGGTCTCTAGTCAAATGATTAAAAGAAATACATATTTAAAAATAAAATTGTTATATCACATATATGTAATTAAGAATTTTTTAAAAATATCACAAGTAAATAATTTGACAAAATCATTTTATCTTATTTTATATTTAAAAAAATTAACATTAAAAAGTGGATCAAAATTTACAAAAAGATAAGAGTGAGCGCTATTTTCCTGTGATTATATAAATCAAAATTGTTTTATTTAAGATTTACGTTAAGAAATAATGAATGGTTTTGGAATATCTTCTACATCAACAACGTTGGATTTGCAAAAAAAGCATTCGCGTTTGTTCATCAAATAATGGGTGATACATGGTCTGTTAAAGTTGTAATTTGCGTTATAAAATATTAGGAGTACAAAATCGATAGACGGTTTAAACTACATTCTATCGATATTATATATGAAAAATAAATCGCTTGGCATGTGCTTAAGTCTCATAATAAGTCACGAGATATAAATAAAAACAAGTAATTATAATTTTCCAAAAATTGGTTAAATAATTTAAAAAATAACCTGCAAGATTTATGAGCGCAAGGAGAGAATTGAACCTCGAGTGGTCTAGCGTAACATATGGGGCAGGTGTCTTCCTCTGATATGGAAACCCGCACGCTACTTTGTTTGCTTTGCTCTTCTTGCAGCATAGTCACCATTTGAGCGAATTCATTTAGTTCGGGCCCGCTTATTTCTGCATCTGGAAGAGACGGGAAAATAAATTATAGTTTGTGATAAAATTTAGCAAAAAAATAATACTAATACTGATTTGATTTTTTACTTTTTTGTTATAATCGGGGAAAAATTGAAAATAACCTTATTAAAAAAAACTAGATAATATAAATGATTTCTTTAGTTATAATTACTCTCTCATAGTCTCTTTCCCCAGTGATATTAAATAATATCAGAAGCATAAGATTTAAATTTACTTATTTTTTTCCCCGAAATCCGAAAGATATGAATAACGCTTTACTAAACGAATGTTTAGCGATGTTTACAATAAATCGCGTTGTTAAAAAAATTATTATAAAAACACATTAAAGCGGTATGCTCCTTAATAAGGTTATTTTTTTTAAAACATTTTTAAAAAATATTACAATTTTTGAAACAAAATTGTCTCTTGACCAGAACGTCAACTTCGAAATTGATAATAGCAGAGTTAGATTCTTTTTCGTCGATTCCTAACATAACTTCTAGAGCGGATAGTTGAAAACCGGGTTCGTTCAGCAGAGTAGAAACAGTTTTTGTCCGGCTATAATTAAAAGATATCGTAATAAACAGTTCATGAAAAAAAAATCATTATAAATATAATTTTCTATAATAGAAAATTATGGAGTCTATGATCAATATTAAAACTTTTACTACATTTTTTTTTATAACTGGATTTCGTAATTGTCTTGTGAAAGGAATTTAATGTTACTCTTATCCATATAAAATGAATAGGAAAACTTTTAAAAAAAATTAAAAATACCCTTTTTTAGTCACCAATTGCTTCAATTGCTAAAATTGAAAAATGAATTATATAATCAGGCTATTTTAGTCGAGCCCAAAAATATTTAGAATTATGAAACAAAACTCAAATTTTTCTTGAACTAGGGTTCAGATATTTTCAATAATCATCTTGATTATTTCTTACAACCCAAAATAAAATATAAAAGAAAAACAAAACTAATTATTTTGATTACCCTGGAGTGCGTATAAAATTATTTTTATATTTCCTTGCCCAATAATAGAAATATATTCAAATAGCCTAAAAATGGGGAGGGGGGAGGAGAATGGTCCCCAAATAATTTTTTTTTAATATCGTTGGGGTAGAAAAATAAAAAATATTGTAAATAAAATTTGCTTTCATACTTTTTTTAAATAAATTGATGAAAACCTCTTTCATCTTCCTCCATTTCTAGACAATCATCTAAAAAATTTCTTTTTCTATATATTATGGGATCGACCTTTTTTATTTCTATGAATCGTTTTTTTCACCGTAACCAATTCATCTCATGTTGCTAATCACATTTTCTGATGGTGACGTCAGTCTGGTTGACTACTTTTTATGTTACCGCTACTAATTATAAAAGTAACAAAGCTACTAGTATTCATGATAGTAATTTTTTTAAATATATAGAAAATTTAATGTTGCATAATGCATGGCATGGCTCACGTAAATATTACTGTTTTTAATTATAATTGATATAAGTGCTATAATTTTTAATAATGCCAATTTTGGAAATTTTTCTATTTTGCTAATAACCTTTTTATTTATTTTCTACTAAACGGATTGAAGTGATGAATTAATAAATACATACATTAAGAATTGGCACAACCCAAATATTCAATGCTTTCATAATTTTTGTTGTGACATGATGCCGATCCTGTCACTTTTTTCTTATCTTGCCAATAATTGGGTTGAAGCATTAAAATGCACCAAATACGCATTAATTATTGATATAAGTATCAGAATCAATGCTTGCAGAAATTTGGCTTACTTCATGTATATATAAGTTATTATAACTCAGTTATATTGGCCTGGGGTAGAAAATATTCGCACAAACCAGATATTTAGAACTTCTATAGTTTTCCATTTTGGCATGATTCCAATTTTTTTCTTATTTTAGAAATATAATTAATAAAATGCACCAATTGACACAATGATTTGGTACTAGTTTCAGAATTAGTGTTTCCATAAGCCTAGCTCACTTCGCGCTTGATATCAGAAATTTCTTTTTAGTTTATAACTCGGTCAGTTTTGTTGTGTTTGGCAAAAGTGAAAATTCATAAGTACTACATGCACCGGATATTTAGTTCTTCTCCTTTTGGTAAATTTTCTTCTTTGTGCTATCTACCTAATGAAATAAAATAATATACCAATTAAGCGATAAACATGGATAAAATTTTTAGAACAAAGCTTTCGGTCGATTTAATTGCAAGTTTAAAATTTGGTTGCTAATAATTTTTTTATTATTATTCTAGCTACTATATTGGTTAAAACCCGAATTGACCCTAAGAAAACACGAAATATTGGCATTTTAAAATTCGTGCTTCTAATTGATCGGCTAACTTCACTGAGATGATAAAAAGATATTACATCTGAAAAAGTAAAATAAAAATAGTAAATCATAAATAATAAGCAAATGGCCTATCATAATCAGGAACGACCGAAGGTTAGGCAAAAGGAGGTTTAGGGGCGAAACCTCAAAAAATATTTCCACACCCTCCGTTCCCCTATTTAAGAGTTATATCTTTTATATTTAGTCTTATATCTTATTTTAAACATTTACTAAATGAAGGAAAAGGGGAAACATGGTATGTAATGATTATAATGCGTAAATATAATTTAATCATTAAATACTATTTGATGAAGATCCATCAATTACCAAATTGTTAAATAAATTATTGTGTTAAACTATCTTAAAAAAGTGTCCGGAATCTATCTGTCTTAACCAACCCTGTAAAACATATTTAAAAAATTTTTCCTAATCTCTTTAAAAAAAAGTTTGTCCTGAAATTTTAGGGGTTGTAAAATTATATTTGATAATTATTTATATATTTATTATATCATAATTTCAATAAAAAAGGAGAATATAATATGATAAACAAGAAAATACCTGCCTTATTATTTTTGATTTAAAAAAAAATAAAAAGGAAAGAAAAGAAAAAGGGTTATCACAAAATAATAATATAAAAAAACGAGTGATGTTCTCACAGATGATCCAATTTATAATGATTCCTTTTATATTCAACGTTGCAGCCTTTGTAATAAAAGATGAAAAATAAGAATTTCTTTATACAATCCAAATTTTTTAAAATAGAAATAACTACTTTATAAGTTTTACATAAATATATCAAAGAATGCAAACAATAGGTCATCAAAATAAATGAATTTTAACGACAGCAGCCTGGTAAAAGAAATAGGTATATTACATTCTCAACACATAAATGTGGCTTTGGCTATCACAATAGTTCTGATGAATATAACAATGGTATTCGGAAACGCTAGCGTTATAATGGCAGTGATCTTCAATAGAAGACTTAGAACCACGCGGTATTACATGATATCTTCTCTGGCCGTGGCGGATATATGTTTAGGTTTAAATTATAGAATAATTATTTTATGTTTGTTTTTCGTAATAACAATCTAAGCCTTTTTTAAGTTCGTGAATTTGAGGTGCAGCAAGGTTCAATATGTAGAGCTTAATTGGTCAACAAATATTAATGGATAGATATTTGATTTCAGTAACAACTTCAATCCATCAACCGATTGGGAATGTTTAAAGATTTGATAAAAAGGTGTTTAAGCAATCATAAAGCTTAAGGCGTATTAATTTAACAAATTTTAGTTATGTATGAATATAGGGTTAAACGGCTCGATTTTTAAAAACGACTAGCCCAATATTTTAGCCAAAATATAATATGCAAGCCTGGAGATTCTTATTACAGATAGCAGAATGGTTAACGAAATCTCGAAGCTTGCACAATATAATTTTGACCAAAATCTTAATTTAAAATTGACTAAATCGTGGCGTTTAACAACACTATATGGATGTATTCCAAAGTGATCGAATCCTTATAAAAAGTATAGTATTGTTTGAGCAGTAAAAGGGCTATATTAGTGCACTTATGGAAACAATATTATAAACATTTCAGGAATGACGTTTTAATGCAATTTCATTCAATGTTTAAGATAAAATGGCTAATATAGAACGGAATATTTTATACAGTATAAACTAATTTTGCGCAATCTTAAAAATTAACTATATTTATAAAAATGTTAGTTTAAAAAACCACATACATTAAGGAACAAAAATCATGATAAAATCTCCAATAGCGACTATTAGTAGATTAAACACAGGATTATAGCTATGCAAAAAGCGAGTTAAAAAAATGAAACTATAGACATCACGGGTTATAGGTTGGCAGGCTTGTAGACCACGTTGCACCTCTACCAAGAATGATTATTTATATAAAAATTAGCGGGATACAAATTATTTTATAAAAATGTAACTCAGCTAAAATTTCGAAATCGGCTCAGTTTGTGTTTTTAAAACTTTATATATGTTCGATTTAGGTATAAACTATGCTGTTAGTTTTACTACTTCTATTTATAACAAATGGATTTGCCCTGTGAGATAGATTCGTTTAAGTTCAAAGACTTAATATATAGTAATAAAAAAAGAAGGTTAGTTTTAAAACCTATGTTAATATTTAGAGCTTTATACACCATCGGAATAAACCTTTGAGTTATAATCAAAGGTTTTGATCATGCTAAATTCAAAATAGTCAAGCAAGTTCTGAAACTTATCCTAATATTAAGTGCCATAATATTTTTCAATGACTTATAACTAAGCAAAGAGGGTGAAGAATGCTGAAGCCAGTATTTATACGAGGAGGGGGGTTACGACAATTTTGTGGCTTCGCCCTAATATCCTAACTTGCCTGGCTTTCGGCTGGGTCTACGAAAAATATGTTTGATTTTTTCGTTTTTATATTGCTTTTTTAAAAATTTATACACCTACGTTAAAGTTGACTGAATGGAAGCAAATTTTGTGACAATGTTTTGTGCTTTAGCAAATTAGTAGCCAGTATAAATGGAAAAATTATTAGCAATAAAATTTGGTAAACCTTGGATTAAAAAGTATTGTCTGAAAATTTTTATAAATAAAGAGGTATAGGTCGATCGCATACAAATTACGTATTTGAGGCGTCCAGTATTTTATCTTTTTTAATATAATCCATTCAATTTTTTATGTGAAAATTTGAATATAAAATGAAGTAGGCCTATAGCATTATTTATTTGAAGATTTTTCCATGCAATTTTTAAATAGAACAAGAAATTTCTGATGATCTTATAGAATTAGAAAAGAGAAGGTTTTATCCATTAAAAAAATGAAGGTAAATTTTGATCCCATTTGCTTACGCCAGTGTTGGCGAAGGTGGCGAAATGATTTGAAATACAAATTCAAAACTCATGCATAATATTCAATACTTCAACTGCCATACCAGTGTATTGTAAAATGAAAATAATTATATAATTCGTGCCAATATCTAGTATTTAATTTGCGCTTTCAGAACGGATATCACAGAATTCAACAGGCAGTGATTTATAATAAAACAAGAGCTAAAATGGTTAAACACAATTTTAAGTTAGCAAGAGCTATTTTACTGTGATATTCGTTTTTCCAAGAATTTATTCTTGTTTTTTTGAAATTATATAATGTACAACTTATTTCAATAAAATGTTTGAACAATTATGCAAAAGGGTTATATTTTCAAAAGGATAATTTCTCTTTCATAACGAAAATTCGCTTTAACAATATTCGAACACACCAATTAAAATTTCGACAAGATGCTTTCTTAATTTTGTTTATAACTAAAAATATCTGCTGGTATTACGTTTGAAGAATTTTAAGGAAAAATTTAAACATTAAATTAGTCTAAGTTTTATAGTTCGTACTTTAAGTGGTTAAGCTATCAGGCTTCTTATTTCACTTAAAACTCAGTTGTGGTTATTTATGTTGATATTTCAATTAGAAAGATATTTAGGCACAAAAAAAATTAAATATTGGCATAGGTTTCAGAATTTGTGTGATTGTAAAATTAATAAAATATAAGCATTTTATATTTAATATAAATCTTGCGAAAAGGTTCTAAAAACAATAATTCATAAAAAAATTCCCAGAAGCCATATGTTTATCAGATTAAGGTTTCATTTAATTAAATTTATATTAAGAAATGTAGATAACAGCATAAATTAATTTTAAAAAAAATTAAATTCGAGCTATTTTTTTTTAAAAAAATTTGGAAACTTCTTTATCAAGAGAAGCACGTTTCATTTTATTGAAATTATTATTGATTTCCTTGAAATCTAGTTAATTTTTAGTCTACTAAAACGTGCAATATGATTGACATTAGAGATCTGCAAATGCAAGCGAGACCCACACCCGGCCCTATTCATTTAAAAAAAACTCGATTATGTTTATTGTAAAACTATATTGTAAAAAAAAAAAAATAATCTCTATATTCAAATAAACTCGCACCAGGTGCGGACAAATAATTTTTTATTTCGGGTTGAGCTATTCGGGACAAATAAAAAATAATTGGTTCGGAGTTTGTGTTTATGTTATATCACTGATTCACAATCCGTGCCATCATAGTATAAACAAGTCAAAGGTTCATGAACAAATTTTTTATAATTTATAGGAGACAGGTATTTTAATTTCAAATATACTGGAGTGGAGAATGTGTTTAGGACAAAATCACATTTTTAAATTTAAAAAAGCAGAAATGGTTGTGCTATTTTACCCCTTAATTTATTTATTTAGTGAGTTACATTTGACAAATCATATTACCTGAAATGTATTCCAGCATATTGACCTCAGATACTATAAATTTTAGACAATTTTTTAGGATATTATATAAATTGCACGGGCAATAAATGCCCACTTTAACTTTCATACTTTGATAATTCTAATGTAATTTCGTTTATAAAATTAGTTCATCGGTTCATCAATTTCTGCTTCAAACATTTTAAAGATTTATGATCAAAATTTATTTTAAATAGTAACGAACGCGCTCCTAGATCGCAGCATAAAACGCTATTTTAAAAACTCTGACAGAATAGAAAAAATTGCGATTTCTTATAGTAAAGGAGTATAATTTTGAGTTTAAAAAGATGAGTGATGATTAAAAGCATAAATTTACTTAAAAATGGACACTAATTATGTTTATTATCTTTATATAAAGTTTCTTCTTTAAGGGTATAACGATATTCTATATTATTAAACACACACCACCAGGCATATTCGTCATCCCGTTCGCGGGTATAAACCTGATCCTCAAAAGGTGGCCGTTAGGATTAAAGTTCTGCCGAATTTACCTGACGAGCGATATTCTCTTCTCAACCGTGAGTGTATTGCACTTATGCGCCATAGCTTGGGATCAGTTCATAGCTGTCCGGTTTCCGTTTCAATATAAATCCGTACTCAACAATATAATCATATGGAGTGTCATAGCATTCATATGGGTTGTGAGTGGACTCATCGCAATAATACCCGTCAATTTCAAGATGGATTGGTACCAGGAACCCACCAGGCTAGAAAACTACTTAAACCCAGAGTATTGCTTTGTACAGATAAGGAAAGAGTTCACCATGATAGTACTTCCGCTGACTTTCTACCTGCCGATGATCAGTATGGTGGCCATATACCTGTACATTATACTAACTATCAGAAGGCGGTTCAGGAAAATATGTCAAGTGGCAACTAGAGGTTATCAATTTTTTAAATATTATTTAAGTGCTATCTTATAACTAAATCAATGCACAGATGTGAGATGGGACGCGAATGATGCCCTATTATGTTAAACCTTAGATTACATAATTTCATAATCTTATATTAATCCTGTAACTATAATTATGATCACTTTAAAAATATATAAGTTATAAGTACAAAAAATTTTTTTTTTTATTATGAGATTAGAGCAAGTCTTATAGTTTGTTTGACATTCTACAATGCTATTGATATAGTGATACCCAAATTTTAGAAAAATGGCTATAGCACTCCAATAATTGGGATACCAATCTTTAACATAGGCTATTTAAATTTCGAGAACGTTTCATTTAATATTTTATTTCATTCGTTCTTACAATCTGTTGTTTTAAATAAAATTTATACTGAAAAATTAAAAAGTCGAGGGAATCAAAAATAACCTGTTCAGCACCTCTCCTTATTCGACCGTCTCCCGACACAATAAAGATTCTACCATTAGATTTAAATCCATTGCAAATGTTGGTACTTCTTACATTGATTCTAAAGATCAAGATAATCGATGTAAGAAGGACAAGAACCAAAAGCGTCAGGAAGAAACAGAAATGGAAAATATAGGGTCCCGGGGTGAGATAATGGCAGGAAACGAAAATGAAAATATGATGAAGTATAGAAAGGTTTTGTTGATGGTGGGATTGAACTTTTTGCTTAGAAAATTGAACTTATTTAAGCGTAGTAGCATTTTCGTTAAAATGGATAGCATGGGAAAGTTTGAAAGAGAAGAATGCAAAAGCGGTGAAAATAGTTCGCAAAACAATGAAAAACTTGCCGATCCATGCAAAATTCAAAACAAAGCCGAGAAAATAGGCACCCACCCGAGCCTAAAATCGAGCGTGTATTCTAGAGTGGGAGAAGTTATGAGTAAAAGCGTATTTAATTATATTATAGATCTATAAATTAAATAGTATGTATATTTAGATGAGACTTATTCTTAATTTTAAAATGAGATAGATTTTTTTAAAGTAAATCCTTCGGAAGAATTAATATTTTGGTTGTATGAGTTAAGTAAAAGTATAGTTTCCTTTTTTCATTCATATTTTTTAAATAGAAGAATGTGGTATAAAAGAAAGATATGGGTGTGAAATACTATATCAGAGGCATTCACTTAGACTTAAGAGGATAATGAATCATCATACAATTAAATTTTCAGTTTGTACAGGTCTTTAGAAATTTTGCAATAAATATTATTGTGTGGTTATTGGACTTTACTTAAATGTCTATATTGACAAATTTTATATCCATATATATTTATTCAGCAATAGCTTTGATAATTAAATTATGTTTATTACAAAATATAAAAGTGATAAAAAATTTTAAATACAAATTTTTAAATTTGGATATTGTATAGTAAAAAGGAAGACTGAAATAAATATAATATTTTTACTATGATCAGGCTCGGGACTGATTCTGAGAAGAATTGCAAATAGGGGTATGACAAGTCTGCTAGTGTTGTTAAACTGCTCCATTTTTATAAATGGCTAACCAAATATTTTAGCCAACAAATACTACGCAGGCTTCAAAATTTCGTTAATAGATGCCCAAATCTCCAGGCTTGCTTAATTTTTTAGTCAAAATCTTGGGTTAGCGTTTTTAAAAATCGAGCCACTTAACAACACTAGTCTGCACTATAAATGGAAAATTGTGATCATTATACTTAAAAATATAATCAGAAGATTTTTTTTTCATTTTATTAAATCGTTCTGGTATTGATTTAAAAATTATAAATTCTGATTAATTAATTTATACTATTTTAGTAGAGTATAATTATTATTTGATTAGAAAGAATATAATTCATATACAAAAATTAATCATAAAAGCAATTACGCGAAATATGAGATAATAATTTTTACTTACAAAAATAGATATAAATTTTGAGAAAGTTGGCATTTATTAAATTCTATCAGGTAGTATGGCTAAAAAAGGGCAATATCATTTTTATTCCCAAAAACATTTGATAAGCGAGCATTTAATAAAGCTGGTCACTATGGATAAGTAGCATGGCCAAAGAAATTAACTAAAATTATTCTAAATTAAAAAAAAATCTTGTACACTTAATAAAACTTGTCAATTTGGGCAGGTAGTAAGTGAGTCCAAATAATGGTATATAATTTTAATTTATGAAAATAGCTAAGGACCTTGTTAATAAATATATTATAGAGTGACCCCAAAGAATGACATGATAATATTTATCAGGGAATAAGTATAAAAATCTTCAAACAAAAAAAAGTCTCTAAATTCTAATAATAAATTTTAAATCATCAAAAAATAAAATAGGATACTATCATTTTGGAAAAAGGCACTATGATATTGCAAAATCTATTTTGAGTATTTCCCTATAGTTAATTATAGTATATAACATATAAACAACATAAAAACTAATAAAGATGAGAGCCGAAACTTCCAACTCAACCCGGCCACCACTAATTACCTGAATTCTCCCCGGCCAAAGACTTTAGTCAAGAGAAGTATCACTATTCTCAGTGTGAGCCAACAAAATAACGCTCAAAATCTGAATTCATTTCTAGCCGAGGCCCGGCTAAAAAAACAAGTTAGAGCCCTAAAGACCGTGGGCATGATAACGTTAGCCTTTGTGATATGCTGGACCCCGTTTTGCTTAATAATGGTATGGCAATCCGTGTGTTGGTGCTTATCGGAGCAGGCCCTCAATTCGATGCTCTGGCTGGGATACCTGAATTCGTGCTTTAATCCTTACATCTATGCCGTGTGGAACAACGATTTCAGAATGGCTTATAGCACTATCTTCAAATCTGTTCGCAAGTGTTGTTCAAGAGCAAAATAAGGCAACTTTTTATAATATTAGGATAAAGTGTAAGATTCTTTAGAGAGGAATAATGCCGATTGAAATTTTATTTAGGAAATATACTTCCATAAGCAAAAGGACTTGATGATATATTTATATAAAGGATAATGTTGTTTGAATAGGAATCAAAGGCAGGCATAAGAAAAGTAAAATTTAAAACTCTATATAAATTATTACGAAAATGTATTATTTAAAAGGGGAATTCGATTATTTATAACTTTTATTTTCATAAACCTTTAGCCATTTTACATATGTCTAAAAATAACAAAAAAATTTAAGCCCTACACCATCGAATTATACTAAACTCACTTATATGAATCCTAGATCGTAACATAAATGAACCAGAAAGGGTTAGAATTTTAAAAAATGAGATTCTTGGGCTCTTATATTTCATCGTCGATAAGAAATAAATTATATGAAAATGCTTTAAATGATATTTTAATTATAATTAAAATTCTTTAAAAAAAAATAACTTGACGCTATTATATAATTATATATATTTTATATGTATGATATTGTTCAATATAAATGTAACTTTTATCATTTCAATAAAAATAAATAAATTTGCCTCAGGTTCATTTTAAATAAACTTAAACCTTTTAGGAAATTAATATCTAAAAAAATTTAAAGCCAAAAATAAAATTTACATTATCTAGACTTAATAAAATATACTAAAATATAACTTTAACATTCAAATTATAAATAAAATTTGATTTTTCTTTGGTTTAACTTTTTTAATTTTAGATATAAGCTGTGAAAATAATGATATGATAATGATTTAATTTTATTATTTTCTATCAAATAAGCATATAAGCCATGTCCTGGTTCGACTTATCTTTGATACGCATTTATGTTTGGCCTAAGCAAAACAGTTTTTGAACTAGAAACCCAATTTTGGTTTGTTTTAATTGTTTGGTGGCATTATTTTTCGTCTTTTTCTCTTTACTTTTTATATTATTTAGTAATAAATCGAACTAGGACAAAACCATATGCCTTCATAAGCGCCAAAATTATAAGCTTGCCCAGCTCTTATTAGAGCCTTGCTAGTCGGCTTCGGGCCGAGTCTAGAATATTTTAAAAAGAATGTTTTCTCTTTTTTAAAAAATAGAAGAGAATTGTAATTAGAATTGAGACTTGGACAAAGCAATTAGTGATTTTCATTCAGAGTTGTTAAAGTAGCTCGCTACTTGTAGCGCGCTACTTAGCGCGCTATCTTTTTTGGTAGCTATAGCTAATAGCCGCTACTTTTTTTAAAATTATTTAATTTTTTAGCGCGCTACTTTTTTTAAAAGTAGCTAAGTAGCGCGCTACTTCGCTACTTTTAAAAAATATAATGAATGTAAGTATAAACATGAAAATTTAAATATAATATCATAATTAATTATAATTTTTATAATTTATTATTTAATTTGGAAATTTAAATATATTTTCAATTTTTAATTTATATTTTCAATCTGTGTTAATAATCTAAAATGCGCCCATGGATATCCAAATTCTTGAAAGTGATTCAGACATGGAAGATTCAATGGAAGAAAATGTACTTAATAACTCTAATAACGATTTCCCATTTCCTAGATTTGAAAAATTTTTTTAAATAAATATTAAAACAAAATCTGGATTCAAATTCCTGTGCTTAAAATGTAAAAAAAATATATCATCAAATCAATCGAGTAGCTATAACCTGAAGAAACACCTAAAGGTAAATTGTTATTTTTACATTATAATATTATTTATTTTATTAGACTGTTCAAGCCAATTGCTATAAGGAAATAGAGAAACATATAAAAAATTTTGGTATAGGAGAATCTTCTTTCAAAAAGACAAATACTATCCAAACCAAATTAACTGATAAACATGCCAATATTTCACAAAAATAGGCTGATAAAGTAATTGTTGATTTTATTATTGACACAGTTCAGCCATTGTCCTTGGTTGATAATCCATCATTTACTATGATGATTAAAACTTTATCCCCTGGCACAACAGTTTTATGTCGCCAGACACTTGTGGATAAAATAGACGACAACTTCAAAGTGATGAAAGATGCTCTAATAGTAGAGTTATCAGATATATCTTATGTATGTACCACGGCAGATAGTTGGACACATAACAGAAGGTAAAAACTTATTTATATTTATAAATTGATCTGATTAAATATTTTTAGAGCTTCCTTGCCCTCAAGTGCTAGTGTAGAGAGATTATTTAGTAAAGCAAAGCTTATACTTTCTGATCGTCGCTCTAGACTTGGGGATGATAATATTGAAATGATATTATTATTAAAATGCAACAAATTAAAATAAATATTTATTTATATTGCTTATTTTTTTATAATCTAAACTAACTATATTTTTATATTTATAAATGTTTATTTTTATATATTATTTATTATACATTTACATTATAAGCAAAAAAAAATAAAAAAAATTTGTTTCATTTGTTTCTAAAAATTTTTTTATAAAAAGTAGCTTAAAAGTAGCTAAAGCTACTTTTGAAAAAAAGTAGCTAATAGCGCGCTACTTTTTTGACAAATAGCGAAAGCGGTAGCGCGCTACTTTTTTTGGCAAATAGCTATAGCGATAGCGCGCTACTTTTAAAAATAGCGTTTAACAACTCTGTTTTCATTGTATTTTTCTATAAAATATTTTAGCCTGGATCGGGCATAAAAATAAATTTCAGGGAGAGCTCTGAAAAATTGAATTTGCAGGGCTCTCGCATTGCGTAAAAATGAATCAATCTGGCATCTAATATGACTCAAATTTCTTTTAAATGATGGTATTATGATATATTCAAATTAATTTTTTTACATTTGCCAATAAGGTAAAATAAAAACGTTCATATATTAATACCTCAAAAATTAAGTGATGGCGTTAATATAAATTATTTGGCATAATATTTTAAAAAAAAAGCAAAATAAGGTATAATAATATAAAATATTCCTTCGAAAATTCAAACTTCAAATTGAATTAAATCATGATTAAAATTTAAAAATCAATTATTGCCATAAATCCTAGATATAATTATAAGCAATTAGCTGTATGTAATCTCTAAATTAAAAAAAATAATGGCGAGACGCTACTTTATTTAATAGTTTTTTAATTTTAAAAATGTTCGGAATAGCCTTCTACCGACTTTTCTGATTTATAATTTTATACAAAAACGACTTAAAAGTAAAACTATAATATAACAAATAAAATCAAACCTTAAAACATCCGTTCTCATAATGAGTTGGATCAATATACCGGCTACAGCGGAGAGTATGGGAAAATGTTGAACCATTTCAAGGCCTGGCATGGCTAAAGAAACTACCAAGTTGAAAGCGCTTTTTTGGGATGTTACCCTGGCCAGTATTTGGCACATTAACTAAAATAATGAAATATTCTAATTAAATCTGCAAATTTCGAATCGATCAATTTAGTATTCGTATAATTTTTCTAATTATTTGTTTCTTCTTTTTAATGTGATTTTCATCAATAATATTTAAGCCTAAAAAAACACTCACAAGATGCAGAAGAACCCTATAATTTCATCTTCTGATTACATAATCTTACAAATTATATTATATTTCGTTTTTAATTTAGTTTTAGGTAAATTTTAAATAAAATATCACAATAAAAAAAAATACCGCAAGTGCTAGAAAATACAAAATATTTGATTAGTTACTTTAATTAAAAAAAAATTAATTATGAATAATTGTAAATTCTTAAAAAACAATAATTCGAATAATTCAAATTTATTATTCATCAAATTGAATTTAATTGATTATCGAATAGTCTAATTTAAATAATAATTTTAAAAAATGATTTTATAATATAAAATGAAGGATAAGGATCTAGATAGTGTTACTAAACGGCTTGATTTGAGCCGATTTTTAAAAACGACTAAACTCAATATTTTATCCAGAGAAATATTACACAAGCCTGAAGATTCAAAATATAGGTGATATTATTCATTAGCGAAATTTCGAAGTTGAGACAAAGGCTAAGATTATGAGTTTGCCTTTTAAAAAAATCGGCTCATATCGAGTCGTTAAACAACACTAAATATAGATATGTATAAATGCTAAAAATTTTTACTTGAAAGAGATTAGTAAGCAGTATTTCGGCGGAGGGTCGTTCTGTGAAAGCGGTAAAAATAGCGGGACAAACTTTAGAGATCATTTCCAGAGCTCGGAGTAGTCCTACAGTTAGGTCAAAACAAGTGGCGCATAGCTTAAGCTGACGGGCATCTATGAACACTTGAACATCGGTGCGAGATGAGGCTTGTTGAATCTTAAATATTGATAATATTTTTTTTAAAAAAGTTTTGATTGAGAATGATAGAAGAAAAATATGCCAGGATTGCTATAAAAATTGTTCGAACTTGTTTGATTGATAATCTGGGCCAAAATTAAAAGTCTTTGGAAATAATATATATTATTTGCCAAAACAAGTTTATTATTTTTGTAATTCTATTTTTTAGAGGAGGCCAATTTTTAATTAGTTTTATTTTTGGACATTATTTATACATTTAAATATTAGGGCTGTGCCGATATTAAATATCGGATAAACGATATTTAGCGTTTTTAAAAAATATCGGATAGGGCAGATATTTTTTAAAAACCGATCCGATATTATTATTGTTTTTGATTATTTTATAATTGTATATATAATCATATAGTATTTTTTTATTTTATTAATAATTTCATAATAAATTAATGAAAAGAACTAAAATACAATTTATTTGTTGTAATGTTTAAAAAAAATAGTTAATTGATATTATCTGCAACAAGAAAAAGTATTTTAAAATATCTAGCAAGTCACATTCAGCTAACGTTGTAAACGGCTAGATTTAGCCAATTTTTAAAAAGGTTTAACTCAAGATTTTGGCCAAAAGTAAATTACTCAAGCTTATTGATTTTGCCCACAGATGGTATAAAGGTTTGGACTTTTATTAGAGAAATTTTGAGTAGGTAATAATATTTGCAAAAATTTTGATTTATCCCCTTTTAAAAATCGACTAAATGGAACTGTTTAACACTATACTCACCCCATATACATTGCAAATATTTTAAATGAGATTATTAATTTTTGGAGAATAAAAATACACTAGTTTTTTAAAATAGAAAATATTGATATTTTTACGACATTGAAACAATGATAGATGGTAAATAAAATGAATATAAATATCGGATCGGTTTTTAAGTAATATCCGATCGGATCGGTGAAAAATTTGTGGAGAAGCCCTATTAAATATATATTTATGTATAAATTATACAATTTACAGTTATGAATCAATTGTATGTCATTAAGTTTAACCTCCTGAAGCATTCCCACGAACTCTGAAAAAGCCCAATTCAATTGATTTAAAATGCTATTAACGGTAACCAATGCCTTCTCGGAATCCTCAGCTAACACCTTAAATAACAATTTTTTAACACACACAACAATTATTGCCAATATAAGTAAATTATTTTTGTATATTTAAATACAAATAAAACAAAAATATCAACCAAAAACGAAACAAATATTCACTTATATGAATTAATATGATTAACATATAAATTTTTTATTTGACAAAATACAATCACAACCATACAAACAGAACCATCAGGTTCATATTAAGAAATATAACATTATTGTTTAGATCAGAGAAATAACGTAATGGCAAAGCCTAGAGACAAGCGATTATGAGAAATTATTGGGTTTTAAACAAATAAAAAAATATAAAAGAAAAATAAGGCCAAAGGTAACATTCGATAATAAGTTTAGTTTAACTATAGAAATAGAAGTGAAATATATAGGATAAACTCACCTCTCCGACGTGCTTTTGATAAACAAATGAAGGCATAGGCTTTATGTAGTCTATCACATTGTTGTTGTTATGGGTAAAGACGGTAACCAGGGTATTCCTATTAGAATTAACGGTGTTATTGTCATTCAGGTTGGTCGCTTCTGAGTTTTGGGAGGTAGGAGAAGGGTTATTAGTGTTTAATGCTGTTTCATTGGTTCCTGGCTGATTTTGACGAGAGTCGTTTAATAAAAGGTCATGACTTATGGTTTCTATGTCGTTCAGAACATCTACCTCCATACCTACTGGAAGGTCTTGATCGACTTTGTTTATTTTTGCGAATTGAATATATATAGAATTTACACCTGATCATGTTTCTCAAGGAACCAGAAAATTACAAAAATAATTGCATCAAAACTCTAAAAGCGAAATAACGGAAACTTTAAGTGGGCCATAAAATCGATGCCATCACAAAAGTAAGGTAGATTAGGGTAGGGGGTGTGTAGCTTAGTGGTTAGCGGGTAACGATGAATCTAAAAAAGAACCCGAAAAATAACAATGATTCGTTGTGTAGGGATTTAAAGATAGTAGTAGACAAGAATTAAAGATATTTATTTAAGTGGTAATAAAATAATAATTGTTTATCACTATATATCAGTATATATATAATATTAATTGCGGTAGAAGTTAATTTATATAATATTACTACATGCATCGAATAATTTTAAAAATAGAGAAAAAAAATTTGTTACATTGGGAAAAGGATGAAATAATAATTAATAAGCCTCCAATTCATAAAAAAAGGGTGGGAGGAGAGGGTCAATATAGCTCTCGATACTAGTCTTTCGTAAGTATAATTTTAATTTTTACACTATATGGGGCTAATTGACCTTATAGTTGTAATTTGTATAATTCCATTAATGGATTAACTTTAAATACTACATTATAATAGGCCTTATATTAAGATAAATAAATGTAATACTGCATTATTATTTAACAAAAAGAAATTTAATTATCCATTATGTATAGCAGCAAAACAATATACAAAAATAAATTAGTACACACATCAAATAAAATTTTAAAAAATGAAGAAAAAAAATACAATAAAAATTTACATGACGTGTCAAAGGGTTGAGAAAATTGTCATAAAATATTACATTCTATTGGAGAGAGGAATGCGATTATTGTAATAAATGTTGATTCAATATAATAGAATACATTATATTACATGTGGGAATGGGATGGGATAATTGTAATTAATATTGATTCAATATAATAGAATACAATAATATATTATATTATGAAATTAGATCCATATTTTATATCGAATGATGTTAAAGATAATGATAAAAAAACGTGCAGCATTAATTTCACCTTTATCAAATTATGAATTAAACAAATTATTACTAAACTTCGCCTAGAAAACGTTGAATAAAATTAAAAATTATGATATTACATAGATATTAATAACTAATGAGAAAAAAATTAATCCACTAGAAAGCTTCCAGTTGGCAAAAAGAATGGAAAGGAAGAGAAACAAATTTAGAATTTTCTAATTCATTAAAATCGTTAGTTTAAGATGCCTAAAGACAGATATGAAGAAAATTTAAATACAATAATCAATGGATTTATTAAGATAAAAATCTAAAAACAATAATATTTTTAATAAATGACATCGGTATTTAGTTAAGTCGAAAAATTATTAAGAACGATGGATCTGATCAAAGAAAAAGAGGTTAAAAAGGTATATATTTTAACGTAAAAAGATAGACCTAGTTCTAAACGATTCAGCGAATGATAATATAAAAGGTAAGGAGATTAGATATACATAAAATGATAATAACGAATACCATTATATAGATATCAAAGAAGAGAAAATGATAATTATAATAGATATAATCATAAAAATTATTAAAGATAACAATTTCCCAAAGTAGACAAAGCTAAAATAACTATTACCCACAGAAATATATAACGATATTAGCAGATACGATGCTTATAACAATTATAACCACAACATACGCTTATTACGATCAAAAAAATGTTTCAAATGCGGTAACGGTTACCATTTAACAGGATTATAACAAAAAAAAACGAGATGGATAATAAGTATTCTAAAGAAAAACTTAAGATCAGTCATCCAAGTATATAGGGTAGAAAAATAAATATGATTCTGTACACAGGAGCCTTAGTATCAATAATTTTTATTAATGACAAGTAACAAAATTAACTCTGCTAAGACGATTTATAAGAAATTAAAAACATACGAAGAAAACGAAATCGCTATCATAGGCAGCATACGTAAAAATAAAAGAAAGTGTAAACTATCTACCAGATTATGGTAAAATCTGATGGACCATCGCTATAGGAATAAATTGGAAAAAGAAATACAAAGAATTATTATGGAGAAGCAATACTAGCAGGGACAGTAGACACATACGATATAAATTAGAGGTCTGCAAAAGTAGGCACGGCCCGAACCGGGCCCATTTTTATAAAAAGAAATCGGGTTCGGACTGAGCCGGGCTTAATATTTTTAAAAAAAATTCGGGCCGGGTCTGGTCAGGCTTTGCAAAATTTTCAATATATCTAAATTTATTAATTTTATGTTGAATTTTTAATGTAAAATAAAAATATTTGATTTTATTTATAGAAACTAGACGCCATATAACATATATCATTTATTTTGGGTAATTATAAAAATTAATTTCTATATTTAAATAAATTCGGGGCGGCAAAACTTGTTAAAAAAAATTTCGGGCCGGGCCGGGCCTGGCTTGAAAAATTAGGCCGGATGCAGATCAATAATATAAATAATGACAAGGCAATTTATACAATATAGAACAAGAGTTAAAAGATTTAACGGACAAATATGCTACAATATTTGACAAAAAGCTAGGGGAATTAAATAATATGGAAATCAGTTTAAGTATAAAAGACAATGTAACCTCAAATTTTTGCGCCCCTAGGAAAATTACTGCCCTAGAAGATAAATTTGATATTGAATTAATAAAAGACTTAATAGATTCAATAAAATTTTCAGAATGGACCAGTCCTCTAGTGCCAATATTTAAAGTAAACGATAATATTAGGTTATGTATGGCTTATAAAATAAAAATAAACCACTGGATGATACCGGATATATATCTCATTCCAGGAATATAAAATAAAATAAATTAGGAAAAGGCGATACCACCAAATGGTAAAAGATCCGGATTCAAAAAAGTATTTACCCATTAACACCAACAAAGGCTTAATTGCAAATAAAGATATAAATAAAATTAGTACAACCGTGATTTTTTAAATGATTATTTTTTAAAGAACAGTGACATATAAAAAAATAAAACATAATAGTAAAAAACATAACAAAAATAATTTCAAAAAATTTTCTTTATGATTGTCTTAAGTTTGTAGAACTCGAAAAAGGGTGCTTTGTTAAATTATATCTCTAATAGCTGACCATATTAATGAAATATCAATTATAGTGTTAAACGGCTCGATTTGAGCCGATTTTTAAAAACGGCAAACTCAATATATTAGCGAGCTCGAGATTTCATTAATAGATGTCCAAACCTTTGTGCCATATAATAAGGAAAATGTTAAGGCTTGCATAATATTCTTCTGCCTATAGCCGGGTTTAAATCGAGCCGTTTAACAACACTAATCAATTATTCAAATAGTATCCTATGTTACCATTTTTGAAACGTATAGATCCTATAAAGAGCAATTAAAAGATCTATCAAATCAACACCACCCATTTTTTTATATATAATTTTACACTTCCTCGAGATCTAATTATAAATGTGAGTTTTGTTTTTCTACCGAGCCTTTCGATGCTCCCTAATGGAAAGGCTCCAAAAAAATACTTAATAAATGCACTGCCCGGTTGTCGCACTACTTTACATATCGTGATTTTACGTTATTACATACTGTCTCCTTTTCTTCAGATGTATATCGTCCTTTTTTACGTATATTTTTGTATATTTTTGTTACCAACAAAAATATAATTTGATAGACGGTTTGCCTTACCTGTAACATGGCATTGAAATCCCACCGGGGCTAGCACTATTTGTAGTTTTGCACTGCAAAACCAATTATCAAAAAATATTTATAATTAATAATTTGTAGAATATGTTCTATTAGTCTCAACATTGAATCCCCACTAGCACCAATGTCAGGTATGTGCTTTATTTCTTCATTGTAAATTTCAAAATTATAGACCATTTCATCATTAATGCATAATAAAAACATTTTATACCCTATTTTCGAGGATTAAACTGATTCATTCTATTTTTTCCTTTGGAAAAAATTATTTTTTCATACATATCTAACATTTCAACAAGCTCTATTATTGGACCCCACCTCCAAGCCTAATTGTATGTAAGTGGCCAACTTTCCTCACCATGTGAATTCATTGTACTATTATCATTTAAATGGATGTTGGTTTAGATTAGACCCTATTTGTTACGGGACATAATATCTGATAGAATTCTCAATTGTTGATATGAGTAATATCTACTGCGAGGATAAGTAGGTTCATGAATAATCTCCTTCTATTGAGGTACATATAAGGACCTTTTATCAGATGGCTGCCACTTTAGTTTTCTAATATTTTCATGTCCCTCCTGATCTACATCTAAAGAATCATCACTGTAATCTGATATATCTTGATTATCCAAACGCATCTAAAACCTCAATATCACTACTGGCAGAATATTAGCCGTATTCACAATTTATTCTCGATCTGAGTAAAAAATAAATAAAATGCATGAATATTAAATTAAATTTGAATGCTATTTTTATTACAATAATAAATATTTTTAGAAGATATTAAAAAGTATTTTTAAAGCGTTTGCAAGCAAAATTCGCTAAAAAAAATTATTTTATCGCCCAAATAAAATGAACTAAGGTTCAAGAAACCATTTATAACTTATTCATATTAAACATATATTTAATTAGAAAAATTTTAGTACATAGCTTTATATGCGCAAACTGTGTTGTACACAGAATAAGCTATAAAAAATATAAATATTGTAAATAACTCTCAAATGAAATACGGATATTCGAAAGACAATGTTATTAAAAGATGGTAAAGAAATTTAGTTATTTATAAAATAAGCGAACAGATGATTTTGATTAGTATATGTAATTGAAACATATTGTTACTATAAATAAACACTAGTCGTTGATGATTTAAAAGCAATAATAGATTTTAAATACGAATTTTCTGAAAAATTTAGATACCGAATTGACTATAAAGGATTAAATGAAATAAATAATCAACGATTGATTATAAAATTAATAATGTAATATTTATTTCCAAAATAATTATACAATTTTAGCTTATTAAATCTATTATTTAGTTTATATTTATTACCGATTAAGAATGAATAATAAAAAAGAAACTAAACATACATCTAACCAATCTAGCCTGGGGTTTTGGAGGTTTGGTGTATCTGAACCCGTATCCATTTCCTTTCCAAAATCGAACGAGTATCCAATTAGTTTGAGCCCAGGGTCTGTTTTCGTAAGGCTTTAGCAAGGCCTTGACTATTTCAATTCTTTCCTCCCGATCAAGATTAACTTCCATGCATTTAAGGGCGCCAGGGGAACATGCGCAGTCGGCTAGGGCTACAGTCCGAGAGGGTAATGGTGTAAATAAACGCGATTTTAAATTTAAAAAAAAATGATAATAATTAGGTGATTTAATCTAGCTGAAAGGTCAATTAAGTGTTTGGTAAAATGAATTCAACAATATTAAAAGGAGTAAATGAATATCCGATTTTAAAAATGAATATATAAATTTTTTTTAAAAAATGAGTGTTTTTAAACAAACCAGGGAAGTGAAACGAACCGTTATAAGGGATACGGTTAGCTTCATTATTGGTATAAAGGTTTAACTAGAGACGCTGACGCAATATAACTTTGTTATACACACTTTTGAAGAGAGAAAACTTTTCTTGCATTCTATGGTCAATTGTAGTGCAGAGTAAATTTAATTTTCATCTTCGCTTCTTATTTTGATGGCTTTTAAATGGTTTATCATTATTATAAAATATGTACTAACAACATTTCATTTTTTTTTGAAAATGAAGTTTTCATATTTTTATATAATTTATTTATCATTTAAATTTTTTTAGGCTTCTTTGGATGTTTTGAAAGATCTAAATAAGCCCTTTTTTATTTTCGAGATAATAATTATTTCATTTGTGATATTCTAACAATAATTAGATAATAAAAATAAGAAGGATTTATTAATCAAATTAAAATGATTAATTTATCAAATTATATAGTGCAAAACGGATTTATTTATCAGCCGCCTAATATAATCAATCATTTATAAAAGTAATATTAACATATTTGATACATAGGGTTAGCCGTTGTTTCCGAGCAGAAACTCTTCAGAGAACAAAATATGTAAACAACATTTTTTATATTTTGTTCTCATTAAAAAAATGTCAATACCCCTATTTTTTACGTACTTTCGAACATATTCTGATTTAAAACGAGCAATTATTTAAAAAAATAATTTTACATTAAACTAATCATTTATTCATTAAAAGTTAGCGAAATATCCATAAAATTTAGAAAAAAATTTAGTGTTGTAAATCTTTATATAAAAGAAAACTTATATATTATTTTTTACGAGGATTATTTTGCCTTATAAGTTATAAAAAGTATGGGAATTATATTCTAAAAAAAAATTATGTTAAACCAGATTCGCAAAATTATATAATAAAATTTAATAAGCAAATAAAAATTATACATCATAATAATAAGATATTTAAAATATTTATAGGTAAACCTTGTGTAAGGCGATCTCTAAGCTCAGAATTGACTATTTTAGTGGAATCACGAGCGAAAAATAAGGAAACAAGTCGCACGTACGTTTTTAGCAAGGACGCAAGATCTTATTGTTGGTCATCAAATAAAAACAAACGATTTATACGGATATATAGCACTTTAAATCTAGTTATTATCACTTCCCATTCTAACTTATAATAATAAAGTAGGTTTAATTTTTTTTAAAGAGGGTTGCTTGGCTGGGTTCAAACTCTGCTTCGATCAATTTTACAATAGGGCTATTTTTCTTAAAAACAAGATAATTTTAGTTTCTTTTTAAAATGTAGAGGGTATGGAGGAAATCCCAAAAGGAAATGATTTTGACCCTAGCTATATTTGTATAAAAGTGGACCACTCTTGCTTTTTATTAGCGCAGATTATCCATGTTGATTAAAATTAGAATGGCTAAAGTGGTTAGTCAATAATATGCAATAAAACGGAGAAAAGTAATCCTCCAAGCTCAATTTTTCAGTAGAAACCATAATTATAAATATTAGTTCAAAAAAAATATATAGATAAGGTAATGGGGCAGTAAAAAAATTATATATTGGTGAAGGGTGGATCTATTGGGGATCACTAAGAGAAATGGAAAACAATCAGGAAATCACGAGAAAGGATTGGGATAGGCGATAGGTAATGTCATGAGAAGATATAGGCTGGAATAGTTTGGACATATTGAGCGGAAGGCGAAGGACGATCGAGTGAAGAGATTCACTATGTTAGATATGAAACAAGACCCAGAGAGAGGTATAATCACAAACTATATGAATTTGGTAGAAAATATGCAAAGAATGTGTCTAGCCAATGTTGATGTCCGTGATCGAGAAAAATGGAGAAAGGGGATATTAGGGTAAACCTGATATTAAACGAAGAAGACTAAGCAGCAACCTGCAGGCCAGGTGGAATCTTATCTTCTTTTTATTCTCCGTTTAATGGCGATTTCGGTGGGCCAGTTTCCCCTCTGATTTTCCTTTTCCATTTTTGACGGTCCTTAAGTATCAATATTTGTAAGATTCATTTTTCTTATACCCGCCGATATCACCTTTATCCACGTTATATCGGGCCTTCCTCTAGCTTTTGTTCAACTACTTCCATCACTTTACCCAGTCATCTTTTGTCTTACGTTCCACATGCTAAAACCATCTTAGTCTTTAGTCTATTTCTTTGCATCACCATTCCAATCACTTCATTCCATTCCCATTCTTGTTCGCAATTCCTTACAAGTTTTTCTCTCTCAGAGACACCCCACACATTCATCTAATCATTCTCATCTCTGTTCTTTCCAATTTGACTTTGTGAACCGTTTTCATTGCCCATGTTTCGAAGTCATAAACTAAACAACTCCTCACACAGCTTACATAAACTTTCTCCTTTAACATCAAAGAGAATTTTTATTTGTTAGAATAGACGACATCTCTCTGAACTTCTTTTATGATAACTATTAATAAATTTTTCACTTCACGATATCGTTAAGAACTCTCATTTATATTTTAAAGGCAAATGAATTATCCTATAATTGTATTTTTACTAGGTATGTCTGACATAAGCGCAGTAGGATGGAAATTGTTTTTGAGATCGGAAAAGGCGTTCAAACATGTTTCAAGATAAAATTCGGGCAAGAATAGATAAAGATTACCCCCCTTAGATAGAGCATTGTTAATGGTACGTAAAATGGCACCTAATAGCCAGGCCACGTTTTCTTGCTTCTCCTGTTAAAATGTAATAAATATATAAAAATAAAAATATAGAAAAAGAAGAAATATTTTTATTATTTTATTCTGACGAGATTATGCGAATTTGTGTATATATTTTTTAAGGGGTATGTGTCAAAAAATATCCTTCCGTTTTAAGTTTATGAATAATACATTCACAATAAAATTAAAAGAATAATAAACAAAGGATACTAGAAAAAAGATAAACAGAAATTAATTTAATTTAATAGATTCCTGTGAACGGTTATTGATAGGTTTGAAATTTAAATATCGTATTTTCTTAAAATATTAAAACATTGCATTCGTAAAGATTTAGTTATAAGAAAAAATATAGTAAGTTGTTTTTATCAATATAACTGCTTAATCAGTTAAAAAAAAAATTTTTAAATGAAAAATTGATATATAAGAGTGAATTAAGCTAATTAAACTTTTTTTTTAAGCAGGAATTAAAAAAAAATATAAATTATACAAATTAACAGAAATAAAATGGTAACTTTAGAAAAAACGACTATCCTAATCCAAGCTAATAACCGGGCTTGTTCAAGCGCGTTTCTAAGGAATATCTGTTTGGAACGTTCTAGCTCTGTTTTAACCGCTATTTTCTGAAGAATATAAAATCTTTTGTAAATCAATATAAAAAAATGGCTGCAACAGTGGAAGTAAAATAGATAAGCAACTTGCGAGGATCTATTTGAGAAGTGTCATTTTGATAAAAAAAAATATAGATACTTTATTATAGGAATGCTCTACTCAGCATTTTTTTTAAAAATTGAGTTAGCTTTAAAATGAATAATGATTAGAAGCTATGATTATATATATTTTTATATCTAATTTTAGATTTAAAAAAAATAAGAGTATTAAAGTTTATGAATATTTTAATTATTTGAGAAAACCTCTATAAGTACCATCAACTTATCTTGACGACTTTAGCAAACCCATTGATAAATATGATCTTATCATTGACATATAACACTTACCTAGACTTAATAAATTATTCATTAAAAAATGAATCCTGAAGCTTCGCGTTTAGCTGAATACAAATCAGCTGGTGACAAGTCATTTTCGTTTCTATTATAAGAATTAAATAATGAAGCTCTAATTTTTTCCAAAGTTTTCATAATTATAAGAAAACAAGATAGCGAGTCACCAGCTGATTTACACATTCAAATAAATGAATTGTCAGTTTTCAATGCCAAAGTTCCTTACCGGTCTATGGAGGTTATATAAATTTTTTAATAATTTACGTTAGGTGGGCAAACGTTTATCTTAGTTTGAATGGAGGTTATTGTTTTCAGATATTCCTTGATTATGTCACGGACCTTTGCCATCTTATTAAAAAAATATATATTATTAAGATATTTAATAAATATTAAGTTATTAACAAATCTACATTAGTGGCAAACAAACTTTCTTTCTTTCAAAAAAAAGAAAGAAAGAACAAAATTAAAAGATATAAAGAAAAATAGTGATAATAAAAAAAAATTTTGGATATAGATTAAAGTCAATCAGTATAATTCACTTATAAATTACCATTGTTTATAATGACTTTATCGTATTTACTATTTTGATTTTTGACGTGAAAAATAAACGAGTTATACTACTATATATAGTAGTAATTGCTCCTGAATGGACAGGTCAGAATCTGACAATATTCATTTTGACTGGACCCGGATATTTTAAAGAAATTTGGGATCAGAAACGCCTAAAAAATTGGACCAGAATTTAAATTAATAAAATTTGTATCGTAAAAATTATTTAATATTATGAGGGATGGGTGGGGATAATTTTTCTTTATAAGAAATGATGTTTTTTGTAACATTAAAAATTTATTATAATTAATCATATTTTAAAAAATGACAATTTCGAACACAAATAATAAAATATTGGAAAATACAAATTAATGAGTGAATATAATATTGCTAAAAAATTATAGCTATATAACTGGGTATGTAAATCACAATAAAATATAAAATCAAACATTATATGATGATTTGAAAAGTTAATTACGATTGCACCTTTTTCCCAATAATTAGTATGTAATTGAGAATTAAATCTCTATCTATATTAAGTAAAGTTAGTCCATTCAATTGATTTTCTGATGTCGTACTTATGAGATAGGATATTCTCTGTAATGAAGAAAATGTCCTCTCATTAATACTTGTGTTGCCATATTTTAAATATGGCGTTTCTTGAAGGATTACTTATTAAAATTTATTTTTCATACCAAAATTAAAATTCTGAAATTATTTAGCAATCAGATATGGCCTTTCGATACATTTATATTCTCTGAATAAAGAGCAAAATATTTAATTTTTAATATCAAGTAACATATCCTAAGACGGATTTCAAGATAGTATGTAAATTGGCTATAGCCATTTAATAATCGTTAATTAATTTGAGTAAAAAAATGTAACCAGAAGTGGAATAAAAATGGTTATTTTTATAATTATCCTCAATTGAGCCCAAGTTAATATTAAAACGATTCTTTGCTTAGGTGTAAGGTGAGGTTTGCGAATCTCAAAATCATATAATCGCGCTTTCGATTAAACAGTCACATATATCAAGTAAAATTATTGGTCGATATTATCTCTTAGTTTTCAAAGTTGTAGTATAATAATAATATTCGTTTAACCAGAGCCAAATCCATATCATTTTTATTGAAAAATATTACATAAAATTGTTGGGTAATTAAATAATTTAGTACATTCTAATGTGAAAAAAATCGGTTTTCCTATTGAATCTATTAATATACCAGCTTCAGATATAATATCCGGTTCAGGCCTTTCTGATATTTCTCCATGAACAATCAAAATAGGTTCTTCTAGATCCAAAAATTTTGTAACACCTTGATGTCGAAAACTCCAACGTGACGTTCATACCTTTTGTAAGTTTTTTCAGAAAATTGTGTCTAAAAATAATTAATAACCTCCTGAAGACCTTATTTCCTCCTTATCTATCTTTTCAGAGTCTTCATTTCGTTCAATAATTTTATTTGCAATCATTGTGCATAAGATTTTGAATTTTCTGATTATTGGGTTTGGTCTGTATATTTTCTATTAAATTATATTACCTTTAGGTTTTTGGTTGATAAAATTTTCATATATCCGTCAGTGTTTAAGGTTTAAAAAAATGTAAAAAAATATGCTTTATATTTTCGTGGGAAAAAAATATTAATATACAAGGAAGAAATATAAAAATTAATTTTAACTTTTTTACAGTTTAAAATAGAATATAACCTATTTGAAATAGAATACTTTGCGTTTCACAATTCATGAAACTTTTTATATTTCTTCAAATAATTTAGCTATGGGGTATTCCCCTCTCCCCGCTGGCTACGCGCCTGTTTGATATGATTATTTCCACAAAAAAAATACTTTGGAAGTATGCTTGTGTCCCGATACGTGATACAAAAGAATGGCACCGTCCAATAACTCTATGAGGGATGAGGAAGATGCTTCAGACCTACTTTTGGGATTTACGGTGAACGATTTGTCTTTATAATGCAAAAAATAAAAATATAAGAAATATCATTTCAGTGCATGTCGATTATCATTTAATGTCTGATACAGTTTATATATCATGTTTGAGTTTAAAACTAAAAAAAATGTCGTTACTATCACGTGATCGGAGTGAATAAAGAAATATCAATATTAACTAAGAGGACAAGGATTTTAAAGTAAGAAACTTATATAAAATAATGTCATAATAGTTACAAATATTTAGATAGTCAAGCTTATTTGACATCGTAAATTACCAGAAAGTTCCACATTGGCTTTGGAATGGCCAGAACCTCCACTTAGTCCTGTATTTTGGGATAAATCGCTACTTGGATTGCAGCTCGGGTTATGATCGCGAAGATTAAGGTAAGATGTCGAACTTTGATTGGATGCGATGGGATTTAGGGATTCGGAATTGAGTAATTCCGAGTTTAGTTCCGTTTCGTAAGTTTTTTTGAGATAAGACATGAGACCGGCCAGCCTTTGAAGGTCGAAATAATTGAGTGAATCATCGTAAAAGTTTTGACAGGGAACAAAGGCTTCTATAAGTTGTAATAAATGAAAGGTTAAAAAATGAAATATTTCAAAAAATTATTTAAGGATAGATCTGAACTTGATTTCCATTTTTAAACTTTATTATCAACAAAAATTTAGATGTAAAAATAGCGTTTGAAGCTGTCTAAAAAGAATAAGGCTATTTAGATTTAACGCGTATTTGCTTTATTATATCGAAAAAAATATATAAATAACAATTAATATTTATTTAATACACAAGTTCGTTCTTTCTTTCAAATAGGGTGCCATAGTTCAAAACTTGTTTAGACTCTGCTTCAAAAAAAGACGAACTAGGACACGGCTTGAAAGATTTTTTTTAACTCTTTTTCCACAAAATAAGCATACATACTTCATCCTTCGGTCGATAGTTTGGGTAAATTATTAGTAAATTTTTTTTTTACATGCAATCAAGTTGGCCGTAGTCTAAGACATAGTTAGCAAAAACATGATAAATGATCAGCTACACCAAAATTGCAATTTAACACCGTTATAAGAAAGCAAAAAATATGTTTGTTAGATGTTCTGATAGAGGTATGGTTTATTAGTTCAAAATATGAGTGATGTTTAAAAAAAACAATGTATAAATTCAATAACTTATATAGCATGGCGACTTACAGAGATAAACATTTAAAGGCCTGGCCCGGGTTTTATATTTCCCGGTTCGGCATGTAAAAAGCATTATGATAACTTTGAAAATATGACAGTCGCAAAAACATAATTAATAATAGGAATGTACCGATATTTTACCCATTTTAAAATAAACAAGAAATAAAAAAATTCATTTGAAAACGTTTTAAAAAAAGAGACTTGAAGCAAGAAAAAAACATTTCCCTCCCTCCCTTTCCCATCCACACTACCCTCCATCTACACTCCCATGTCCCTAAACATATGTAACAAGAAATATAAAGAAATTAAATAAATTTCATAAATTTTTTAAAAAGGTTTTAAAAAAGAGACTTTTGAAGCAGGAAAGATATTTGGTAGTGTACTAAAATAGAAAAGGTGACTGCAAAGGGGGGTAATTAGCAATATTAAAGGGCTTACAGGTCTTTAATATATATATAATACATATTTTTTCTATATATGCAAAAAACCTGAATTAGGGACGGCTCTATAAGAGTATTTTTGATGGTATTTATCCCATTCGAATCTCAGTTCTTTAACCAAGTGGTGAAAAGTGCAAAGAATGGCTGGATAAGGGCATTTACTAAAAGGGTGATGCATCTAAAAAAAAATTTGCAGATTGTTTAAAAAATTATGATTTTTTTCTAAAAATAAAATTAATGAAAAAACATTAAAAACTGAAAAAAATAGACATTCACACTACATTATAAATTGCTCCCAACACTTCGCCTTCTCCCTTTTTCTACTTATACTATTTATGCGTTAATTTATTTGGACGTGAACGCTGGAATTATCTTACAAAAATAGCTATTTAAATCAAGATTAATTTCAGATTAGACTCTTATATTTAAGGTATAAAAAAAGGCATAAGAAGCCAAATAAAATCATAGGTGAACTTCCATTCACAAGTTTGAATATTTAGAAATTGCTTCGATTTGCAAAAACTCGCCAATGACCTTTTTATACAGTTTAAGAAAGACAAAGTTTCTATTTTAATAATCATGTGCTAAAAAACATGTTTCTAAGAATTATTATAAAGCTCTAATTATATATATATGTAGGCCTCAAAAATTTTCATAAAATATCTTATGATTGAAAATAGACATAATGGAGACATTCCTGTGTGTGCCCCAATATGATTAAAAAAAACATGTATCTAATAATTATTCGAGCGTTAGGGTGAAGATAGCTGGCCAAATAAAAAATAGAGCTATTCCTATTGTAAAAAATAGTATGACAAAAATTACAAGATTTCCTAGTGTGCACTGTCTCTTAATAGAATGAATTGAACTGATTTGGCTTTATTACTGAAACCTAAATTGTATTGGGGCATGTTGCTCGGGCTGTTTGTAGCGTTAAATACCGCACTGCCTGAACAAATAGCTTTACTATAAATGAGGCGTAAAGGAGCAAATGTAAGCGCTAGGCATAAATGTACTTGCTTTCATTTTTCTTAATTTCATCATTTAAAGGTAGATATAATAAATCAAATTTCCGGCCTCCCATTATCATTTTCGAACTTTAACTCTATTATATATAATAGAATTTCCAGTGAGATTTTCCACGAAATGACTTATTAACTCACCAATGAATGTGTTTACCTTTAAAATAAATCTTTTCTAAGTAAGAGACCAGAGGATAAATAAACAGGTTCAGGTTTGAATAGATATAAAATGGTAGGATATATATTTAAAAAAAGTTTACTATATTGAGATTAAGGTTTTGACGAATGAAATCCCGAAATTTTTTAAGGAATAAATATCGACTAGATACTCCGTTTAGAGTATCCCTGTTGTTCAATAACATTTTAATAATTTCTTGCTGCAAATCTTCGATTTCTGAATTATTTTTTGGCAATATATATTAAAAATAAAATTGTTAAAATATAGTGAGAGATTTTATGTTTACAATAATAATATTAAACAGAACGAACTCGCATTGAACAAAGTTTATTAATAAATTTTTCTCTTTTACAAATATAAAACATAAAATTAATAAATTCTGCACAAATTATATAAAAGAAATAAAATAATAAATCAACAAATCCCCATAATTTGAGCACTGAAAGAGATGGTATTGCTCAAATTAGATTGCTGGATGATCAAAAAAAAATGTCACTGACTTAAAATAATCGAAAAAATGTATTACAAACCGAAAAATAGTGCAATATACTAAAAAAAATCTTTTCATTACCCGAAACGACGGTTTGGAGGTGTTGCATTGAATTTTCGTAAGCCATTTTTGTTTTATGACTCGTAAATACGGATAAGGGAATATCGGGAGTAGATGTTATCTATTAAATGCATATTGATCGAAAAAATATAATAATTTAGATATGGGTTTGAGGAAAGTTAATATGATCATTTTATCTATTATAAAAAACGTGTTGATAATGCTCGATATAGTTTTAGAAAAAAATGATTGTTGGATAAAATGAAGGGAAAGGTGAATATAATTATTTTTCATAGGCTTGATGTGGGATAGAGTTAATGTACAGGAAATTAATTCTTTTTCGATCCTATTCGCCATTTCCATTTCAAAAATGGTAATTGTTACTTGTCCCTTAGTTTTAACCATTTATTGAATAATTTCAAGAATATAAATATAATATATTTAATCCTATTCTTAATTAAATATATATTATACCCTCTCTTACTTTCAACCGACCATACTAATATCTTAGAACCGTAAACAAAAATGAGTACCCATAGTAATGCCGCGCAAATAAGCATAAAAATCATTCACAGCCTTATAAAATTGATTCTAAATGGGTATTATTTCCTAAATCTTCCCACTATCTTTTTCTGAATTTATCAAATACTTTATAATCAGAATTCGGTTTCCCAGAAGTAGAAGACGAGGATGACCTGCATGTTGACTCAGATTCAGTCTCGGAAGATGATATATTCCAACCCTCTGGTCTTACAGTTTCAATTCCATGATTCATACCGTTTCTTCTTACGTCATCAATCGTAGCATTGATCGGGTTAGTAGAAGGACCCATAAAACTGGCTGTGTATATAATATTACAAACAAATACAGAATAAATTGTTTGTTTAAAATGTATCTTTTTATTTTGCGTTACTTTGAAGCATTTTAATATTAGTTAACTTTTCTTTTCTATATTTTTTTACTACAATTCTACATGCGCCTACTTTACAAATATGCATACATAATTACGGGTGGGACCATGCGCGTAGCCAGCAAGCCCCCCCCCCGTAGCAAAATTATTTGAAAAATATAAGATATCAAAATGGCCTGAACGAGATATTACACCTGCAGCTAACACATTATTAGATTCAATATGACAGTCGATTTTTTCGCATTGGAATGTATTAATAAACAACAATCAATTTTATGCAATTTTTTTCAAAAAATATGACATGGATTTGGCTGAGGTTATGAGAATTGTGAATATTAATATATTACACTTAGAAAACTAAAAGATAATACCGAACCAATAATTTCACGAGATTTATATGATTGTTGAGAGAAAGCGAAATTATTTGATTTTGAGATTAGAAGGCCTCAACTTGTACCTAGAAAAGCAAATCGTTTCAATATTAACGTGAACTCAATTGAGTCTATAAAATAACTGTTTTTATTGCACGATACATTTTTGACTCAATCAATGAATGATTTGTGTTTCATCAAATGGCTCCATCCAATTTATATATATACTATTACCTATAAATCGTTCTGTCAGAGAATGTTAATATATCTGTAGACCTATTAATTTCATAATTTCAATATTGGTATCAAATATTAATTTTAGTAGATAATTCTCCAAGAAAGGTCTTAAAATATATTGAGTTTTTTTATACAAATATATTAAAATTACTGTATATTTTGGCACAATACCAATTAGTACAAGCACAAATGAGAGGAACTTTTCTTCATTACGAAGAATAAAAATTAATCTCAGAACTAGGACATTGGGAAATCGATTAAATAAACTAGTCTTACCTAATATACATCGAGATTTAATCCCCACTCAGAACTAGGACATTGGGAAATCGATTAAATAAACTAGTCTTACCTAATATACATCGAGATTTAATCCCCACTCAGAACAAATTATTAAAAAATTGGGGCAATCGCAAAGATTAAATTTTTATTTATGAATGATATTTTGAAACCTTTTAAATCATCATATATGATTAATTCTTTAGTTCATAGTGCTTTATAAACTGATTTAATAGTTATAATATTTTGTATTTTCCAATTATTATATGTTAGAAATTATAATTTTGTAAAATGTGGAGGTTATAACTAGTGCAAAAAGGAAACGCGTTACTCATTAAGTTGTTCACCTGTGAAAAAAAGGTGTGCGTTACTCGCTATATATAAAAAAATAACGAGTTACTTACAAATATTATATATAAATTTTGTTTTTATTATTTTTTTTCGTATAGATAAAAATAATACTATACAAAAATAATATAATATAATATTTATTTCTCGATTTTCAAAATATCAATTTATTTTATCAGTATCAAAAAATTTGAATTCATATTTTTACCTTTATGTTTTTTTAATTTGTAATCTACACTTATAAAATGTAAATAGTGCCCTTAATTTTCTTTGTGTAAAAAATGTTTCATACTAGGGCCAGGCCAGAGTTAAATTATCTTCATTTGAAGAAATAAATACTGTTGATATATATCATTTATAAAACAAATTATATTAGGATTCAATATTAATTAGATTAGCAATATTGACTATATAAAATATAACAACAAGAATTAAGAACTTTGGGGGTAATCTAAATCAATAACTAACTCGGCTTAAATTATTTATTAAACTTAAAAAAGATATGTAATAAAATATAAAATATTTCTCCATATTTTTAATAAAAAATTTTAAGTAACTAGTAACATTTTGCGTTAACGTTACTCAAAAAAAAGCGTTATTCGTTACCATTTAAAACAAGTAACGAATTTTTTAGACGTTATTTAATAAGACTAGTTATAATAAATTTTATATGATGATTCGTTCTAATATTATGTTTCAAAAAAAATATCTCCTCCTGCAGAAAAATTCATGGCTACGCGTCACCAAAATATTCTTGATTTACAAAATCAATACCAATTAATAAGATCAAATATTGGTATTGGGTTAACATTCATAAAAGAACAACATTTTAAAACCTATACCAATACAATATTTGGTTTTTTAATATTCGTTCCCAGATCCATAAGACATAATATATTATATTTATCTTTAAACCTAATATATTGGTTAGCTTAGATTATTTAGGTAAATTCATTGTGAGCTGATATTATTTATATGGACTCATAATAGTTATAAAACGTTACTTCGGTCGACATATAGTCATACAGAGAAATAGGATTAGGTAAACAACCAAAATTATAAAAAATAATTGGCATGACTATGTATTGAGTTACCGGTAACAGGTTGATTGGTATAGTCGCGAATATTATGAACGGACCCCATATAATTGAGAGGATCGAGGATAGAGGAAATATTTAGGTAAGGATGTGGGACTAGCTTTTGAAGAAGGTCGTAGTCCGGTGATTTAACATGCATGAGTAAAGGTAATTTAATCCTCTCGAACGTACATAAAACAACATTTGATAATGATGATTGAGTTAAGGTAAATAATAATTTGTTATTATTAAATTTAAAAAAAATTCCAAAAAGAGTTAAGACTAGATTAAAAGTCAAGGTATTGAAAAAGAGGGAAGGACATGTAGTGAGTAAGCGTAAAAGGTTTAATAAAACAGTATTTGTTTAAATTGATTTGATCCTATTTGGCTTACGTCATTCAAATTGGATCAAATACTTTGTATAATCAAGATTATTTATATATAATATAAGTATAAAAAGGATATAAGACGTTTTGTAGTAAATATTTCCTCGTTGGCTCGTGTCTTAGTAACTCGATCATCATCGACAAGTATAATTTCTGTTGTTTAAATAAGAAAGATTAGGAGAGATTTATTTATTGTTTATTAATAATAAATCAAGAAATATATTTGAGGTCATGCCTAAACTCGTCATTTGTATAAATGAAATCGCACCCTAATCTTCTATCCTGCCCACTCATATTAATATTCTAAAAGTATATAATTAATTTTTAGTTAATCAAATTATCGGTCAGAAATAGTAAAAAATTACCTGGTATTTCGAATCTGAGTCGAGTGGTGAGAACCGGTAGTGCACCAAAATGGAAGTTATGAGATTTTCCATGATCACTTTGGCCTGCACTTCGTCGATAAAGGCCCAGAAAACGTCCAAAAATTTGCTTATAAATTCTCTGCAATACAAGGGACTGTTACCCATCGGTTGATCATCTCCTTTTTCAGTACTGATATGTTTGGCCAAGAGTTTAAAAAAACAGATTTCTACCACGTAGGCATTATTCTGTATATGAACAGAATTGATAAAATAAGTTAAATAAGGATTATTAACAACAGCAAAAAAAAGGTTCATCATTTTTTTAAACTTAATCCGATTACTCTTTATTTTTTTTAAAGTGCGAACACTGAACAATGACCATGACATATGTTAGATGAATCATGGAAGATAATTCTCTTTTTTAATGTTTTCAAAAAATAACCCTCTCCCTTTCTCTGAAAAAAAAATTGACGTTTCTTTCTACCAGGGAATTAACTCCCGCTTACCAAAAATACTGTGTAATTTTCTTATTTTCTTTAAGAGAAATTGACCACATGAGCGTTGATGAATCGTAGTGTTATGAAATACTTAAAAAAATATTATTTTTTGTTTTGCCAATATCATATTTTGTATCCTATATTAACTTTCTTTTTTTTTGCATAACATCCAAAATGTAATGTAAATTTTTTCTTACACTACAAATATCTTATAAGAATTTTTTAAAAGACTGTAATTAAGTAAGCTTAAACACACTAGATGTATATAATCTTGTTATTGTTTCTTTAATGAAACAATGTTTAACAACTTCTCAAAGTCAATAATATTTTTTGATTTTTGAAATAAAAAAAAATAAATATTTTATTTTAAGAATGCTCACGTAATTTTTTGGTTCTTCAAATTTTTTTTTTTTAAAAATATTGTTTTTAAACTTCAAAGATTTCTTCTCTATATTTAAGGCAAAAATAATCTAATGCTCATTGATTTTTTTTGTTAAACCCTGGTGAAAGGTTTGTTATTACCAAAACTTTGACTAATTTATCGAAGAAGTAACCAGCCAGGATAAAAAGCAAAGCCCTCGAACTGGTACCTTCCAACGTTGGCAACTCTTTTATATCAAAATCGCTATTTGCAGACTCCTGGACTATCTCCATTTTTTGAGGCAAAGCTGTGGACGAAGCTTCCAAAGTCTTATCGCTTTTGTCGCTTAATAACGTCGTTTCTATTGTTTCCTTCTTGTTTTTTTAGAAGTGGGGGGTTTTGGGGTTAAAAGGGTTTATACGTTTCTATTTTCAACAAATATAGGAATTGATTTCGATTCCCTTATCATTTTTTAAAACTTGCAATAAACAAATTATTATATAAGTTTCTAAATTATATTTCTGACGAATGTTTAATTAATTATTTGGCTATTTTATTGGTTAAAAACATTATTCTTCTTTCTTTCTTGAATTTTTCCTTTTTTGAATGTCTTTTTCTTAGCTTCTTTACACATACTTTAATTTTTTACACTATTCAAAAAAATTTATTACACGGTGGTCGTCTTATTAATCAAGGCTTAAAATTTCGGCATTCAAAACATTATCTTATATTAATAGTAGTTGGATGATTATTGCTATGCAATATATACAAGTCAAAAGGTAATTTTGTTTAATGGCAAAAATGGATCAAGTGGCATGAGTTATGTTTTGAGTTCGAGCTCCTGTCACAATTTTTTACGAATTTAATATTAGACAAGGGGGCCAGTCATTCATAACTAACTAATAATTTAAGGGTGAAGCAAAAATAAATATATAAAATATTGATAAGATCTGCTAGATCCAACCAAAACACAGATAAAGAATGGGGTTTTATTTCTTAAATTTATAATATTCCTCTCTCTAAGAAATTCATTATATTTATTTTTCGCGATCGTCGAAGTTATAGCGAATTAATTTCGTCGTTATTTGTTATCGTGAATAAATTTTGTCGTCGATAGCGAATTAGTCGTTAATTTGTTGTTTATCGATCTTGTTTGTATGTCAATAAGCGGCATTAATATCTTTTAGTACTAGCTTCATCGTCGTCGTTTTGGTTATCTGTATCGACACCATTGACGTGTTGACTTGATATAGACATCATAATTTCTTTTATTTGTATCATCGTGGTATTTAGTTATCACAATTTGAGAATAGTTACTGTTATCATCATCGAGTTTATATTATTTAATTTCAATTTATTCTAAAAAATTTTACTTTATGTATCATATTTCAATGTACGAATATCGATTTAATATATTTTAAACATTCAATTGCTTTAAATTTTATATCCACCCATAATTTTCCCCTCCTTGAAAATCGTGAAACATTTAAAATTAGAGTAAACTTGAGGTGGAACAGTTAGGTTTCAAATAGCACGATGTTTGTTATTATTATATATAGCTTTCCGTATGTTATGTAAATATAACCATTTTAATCTGTGTTATATACGAATCATTTTGAGCCTAGGGTTCGTCTGCATTTTTGTCAAACATTGGTTCTTAAAATATCATCCAATAAATTTTCATCTTTGAATATTTCAATATCTAGTCCAAGAATTAAAATAGTTTTCATCTATAGCTCGCCAAGTGTCCATGTTTTAATTAAAGTTTATATTTAATTTTAAGTATCATTGATTCTTTTTTCTCTGCTGCCACCATGTTAGAAACAAACGATGGCTAGCAAAGATAAAGAAAACTATTTTATTAAAATTTAAAAAATGAATTACATCAAGGTTAATTACATATAAAAGAATGAGTTTCACTAAACTAATTGTGTCCAAATAAATTGTATAAAAATACATTGAATTATGAATTCATATCATTTATTAAAATACGCCGCTGTGCTGCCAGTTTAAAAAACGGTGGCGAATTCGGCGCGCCAGTAAACGCTAATAAAAAATAATAAACCATCACCGCCGAATTATATCTCGGCGCAAAGGTCCATGTATGGCTATTTCCTACCGCGATGGATGTAACAATTATCACAAGTTTTAAGCGAAAAACGTTTTCAAGGCCATAATTTTTTTTAAAAATATTTTTCTATAACTTAAAACTAGCAAAGGCATCAAATAAGAACAAATATTCATTAAGGTTTTAGATAGATTTTTTATAACAAATAATTTATTTACCTGATCCAACTTAACGAAGGCGTCTAATATCCTGTGAAGGCCCGAAAAAAGTATTCTAGCCCTCACCAAATCCTGCAAAGGGGGGTCTTGAAGAGGCATGTAACCGTTTACGGGATGCGTGTTGTTTACAATATGGAGCAAGAATTAGAGAATTGTGTTAAGGAAGACGTTAAAAATCAATGGCGTAAAATATAAATGAATAATATTTAATTAAAATCATACTATACAATTTAATTCCGATAAATCGAGAAAAATAAAGAATATTAGTTGTCAATAAATTATAAATTGGTTAATATGCTGCTTATGTATTTTAAAAAAGCAAATATCATCTTCCAAACCATCAAGATCATTCTGCCTGAGCTCCATTTTAAAATTAAATTCACAAAATTTTGAAATGACCAATAAATCGAAAAATATATATTTCGACCAAAAAATACCAAATTTTTTAAGTTAACTAACCTGGTTTACTCAATTAGTTAAAACCTTGATTTTAAATTAAATTATATTTTGTTATGGTGAAGGTAGTGGTTCGTGTCTTTAGTTCGAACTACCGGATCAAATAAAAGCCAGGGTAAATTAAAATCGTTGATTTTATTTTAATCAATTTTTTAAAATGGTTTTATAAGACCAAAGTTTAAACGCAGGGATTTATGAATAGCCGTCTTATTTTTGTGATAGCCATATTCATATTAAAGAGGAATACCAAATGGATTTTTATTTTCATACCCCGATAGAATCTCATCCAAGACGTCAGTGTATAAAAATAGTTTTATAACTAATCGTAAAAAAAAAGGATATAATAAAGGTGTGGCCCCAAAATTTAGTCGCACGCTTTCGTGTATGGAGAGGCTGATGGTTGGGAAGTAAGCGATACCGTACCCTGTTTTGATATTGTCGAAAGCCTCCCCCATGCTTTTACCATTCCTTTCATTTTGTTTAAAACCATTTTATTTTTCAAAAAAAATAAAATTTTAATAATTGCAAATTTTTGATAAATTTGAAATTTTGTGAAAATGTGGCACTTTACTAGAAATGAGCTAAAGTTATTTTTGAACATACTTATTTTTTCTTTTTATTTTCTCATTTTTTACTCACATATTAACTATTCATATATTATAATATAATATCGTCAGTTGAGTATTACAGTGTCCTATATCCAATTTTTTGCAAAATAATTTTAATCAAATTCTCCAATATTGTATTCTTCCATATTACCAATAAGAATGTTTAAATAGAATAATCCTCTATTTTCATTATTATGGTGTGATCTCCTATAATTATAAAAAATGGACATAGATAAAACACTATAACACTCGGAGACAATATATACTTGAATTATTATTATCAAAGAACCCTCAGTGACAACTATTTTTTTTAAGTCAAGCTTGGCAAGAAAAAATGGACCGATTCGGCCAGATTTTTTTCGATTGAAGGCCGAGTATGACCCGAGAAAATATGCCACACCGGCTTAAGTGTAGGACATTCCATTATAGGCATTTGTTTATATTAAGATATATATAAGAGAAAAAAAACTAAAAGCAAACCTATAAAAAGTGATGGAACCTAAATCTAAATCGATGGAGCAACTTATAGTATCCCCGATTCGCCATGCCTATTTTTTAAAAATATATATTTTAAAAAATCTTTAAATTTAGATTAAACGTTTCATGCGGCTAATTATGCATTTACTACATTTATTTATATATTAAAATGTGGCCCATGCTCATGATTTTCAACATTTTGGGGAGGCAGAGACAGGCAAGTCCCCAAAATGGGCTAAATAAAAAATATGTTTTCACATCTATTAAGATATACAATTCCAATTTCTCTGGTAATAAGAAGCAATAGTTGATTTTTTAATATTTTATTTAATTTTATAGAAATGCGTTTAACTTATATTTATTTAAATTAAAAATTTCGGACTTCGGGCTATTATGGCATAAAAAAATTTGATACCGGACTTATAAATTAATTTTAAAAAATTTGGGCTGAAATGGGAATTTGTTCTGTTGTCATGTATCGCTCAAATTTAATAAGTCAAGATTTTTTTTGGAACAATGATTATATACTAAGATTTCGAGATTATTTTTATATATAATAATCAAAATATAACGTTTTCTTTTTTTCTGACATATTAAAAATTTATCAGTCATCTTTCATTTTTTAGAAGCTTTAATTATTTATAATGTTAATATTTATTTGTCATATAATAAAACATCCAAAGATAGCCACCTCTTTATCTTAGCCCCGTCGGTATCCCTGTATAATAAGGCATCTGTGTATGTCGATCATTTTACTGGTTACAATTAGTCTAAATAGTGAATATGTAAGGGATCTCAAAAAAAAAATTTTTCCTACAATTGAGACTTTTGCTAAATTTGTAGTTAAACGTAAAATCCTAGAAATTGCTGCAATTTAACAGCTGACCAATCTAATAAAATATTTTTCAATTTTAATATAATTCTTAAACTACATGAGTAAAATTAAATATCTCTTGCCGTTTTAAAAAAATATATTGCGATCTATCAGCTGTTAAATTGCTAGTGATTTCATTTAACCTTAGTAAATAGTTTTCCTTATTTATTAAAAAAAGCTAAAAATTATAACTTAAATTGGTTACCATTAAAACTAATTATATCTTTATAAGGTAACCCAAATGTGACTTTTAGTCAGCATAGAGAGGGTAATAATATATATATAAATTTTGATAGACATTTTTGACAGGAGGGTATGAAAAGAGACCAGACTAAAGAGGTTCATAGGGGTTTTTCTCTATGATTAAATTAAATCATAGTTTAGATTGAGTAATAAATGCATTATCTAACGCAGAGACCTGTAGGGGTACCATTTGCACAGTCGGCCCGATTTTATTTTTTAAATTTTCGGCCTAGCCTAGATTTTTTTCATAAATTTTTTTTGGCTCGACCCGAATTTTTTAAAATATATTCTATTTATTTTTAATTTTTATAACTAATAATGGCGATTTAAAATATTTTTTAAAAAAAATACGACTCGACCTGGGTATCTTTTAAAAAAAATTTTTTTAGGCCAGGCGTGGGTAAAAAAATTGTAAGGCCTGGCCCGTGTACCCAGGCTGGGGTTAGGGTAGAGGTCTGATCTAATGATTAATAATATTAAGATTCCAACTAAAGTTACTTAAAAGTCAAAACTAATTCTAACCATTAATTAGTTATCCTTAATTTTACTATTAAAATAAAAATAAAAGACTATTTATGAGACTCAAAATATTAATTGAATTGAAATATAAATAATTTAAAATTCCAAAAATATATTTTATATAATTTATTATAATATAAAATTGTTCAAATATTTCATAAACCCCTCAAATATTGAATAGTTTAGGTAGTATTTAGTAACATTATAAGATTATTTTAATTAAGCTTTACTGAAATTTATTGATTAATAATACAAAATATTTACTCAATTTATAAAAATACTTATATTACTTCTCCATATTTTGCAGTAGAGACATTCCATTTCCTGATTCTATTTCCATCGTAGGCAAAAGATTCTGGAGTGTCACCAACTCCTTGCTTTAATATTGTATATAGAAAATTAATATCTCATTATGAATATAAGTTCATTATATAAAATCAAAAAAAAATTCAATGCAATTTAAAGTAAATCAACAGAGTTGTTAAAGTATCTAGGCAAAAATGTTGTATCTAAATCTATATACACTTTTATAAAAGTATCTGTGTCTAGATATTATTTTAGTAATAACTGTATCTCTGTTTTTAGAAACATTTTGATATACTTTTATTTAACGCTTTTTTATTTTAAAAATATAAATATTTGAATGCAAAAAGTTTATCACAAGAGCATATAATTTAAATAAAAAATATATATAAAAAAATATTAAAACTAATATAATAAAAAAAATATATATAAAATATTTAAACTTATATTAATATTAAAACTTAATATATAAAAAAAAATATAAATATTTATTAAATATTATTTTTTCCCCATTTAATAAATCTATAGATATCAGTTCACATGTAAAGGAATATATAATCCTTGTAGCTGACGCCCATTAATTATTAAAAACATTACCATTGATGCACAAAAATATTTTAGGCAAATAAATTTATTTAGAATTTTTTAAAATAATTATATAGATATTCTGCTAACTTTAAATAAATTAATTATAAGTTGTGTTAAAATTTTTTTTAAAAATAAATGCTCATATAATTTTAAATGATAATTTGTTCAAAAGATCTATAAAAATAGGGGTATTGACATTTTATATTATTATTTTATATTCAAATTGAATGAGAACAAAATGTAAAAATGTTGTTTACATATTTTATGCTCTCATAATAAGCATTTCTGTTCAAAAACAATGGCGAATCTTGTATATTAAAGTATAACAAAAATTGTATCTGCTACAGATAATTTTAAAAAATGGTATCAGTATATATATATATCTTTTTAAACAATGTATCTGTATCAAGATCCATTTTTAGACAATAAATCTGTATCTATATCTATTTTTAGACAATGAATCTCTATCTAGATACATAAAAAAGTACCATTTAACAACTTTGTAAATAAATGATAATAATAAACCTCATGGGAAAAATGACAATTCTTAGTACTCCATCCTAATTGCATAACCCCTTTAGTCCCAAGCATGATCTCATAAATCCATTTTCCTAATAAAAACAATTTTACAAGTGGTCTGACTAAATATTAGTGCTATACCTACCTTTGAATACACAACAATTTGCTCTTACAGTACTAAAATTAGCTTGACTTGAAACCTAAATATATTTTTATAAGTTCTTATAAATTTATTAATTATATATATAATGGTGCATAACCAGGGAATCCTCCTCCATCCCAAATTTGTTTTCTTATAAAATTTAAGCATAAAAGAATTTCCCCTACACCCCCAAAAATGTATAAATATGTGATAAGTAAAGAAGAATTTGAAAGAAAAATTAGTAAAAGTTAATAAATTTTTAAAATAATGACTATATTTCAAATTTTTTTTTAAAAAAAACATTTTTATTAAGTGAAAACCCAAAATTATTTTATAAAAATATAATATAGCCATAGGCTTAAGTGAACCTAAAGACCTCCAATAAAATTTATGGAGGAAATCCTAATCTAATAATGTCCCCTCCCCTTTATATAAAAATTCTGGATACCTATGCATACTATAATGTTAATATATCATTAGGAAATAAGAACTTAATTATTTTTTGTATTATTTATATAAAATTTTTACCCCTAATCTATCTTCCTCTACCATAAATATACCAACATTTGTTGATGCATCCAAAACAACATTTTTCCCACCCAATCTACCTGGTGCATCTATTAATAATTTAAAATTAAGTAAAAAAAAACATTAGGAATAAACCTTTAGGCTGAACTGGTATTGTATATTTAGTACTATTTTCAAATTCATCATTAATATGTTGACTAAAGTTTTGCAAACTAAAGGTATTGCCACTTATCAATTATATAAGTTCAAAAGTAAAGTTAATGAATATATACTTAATTGGAGAGATCGGTGACTTTCCCAGCAAAACATAATGCAAAAATTTATCCATTCTAGGATCGGCTAATAATTGTTTTTTAAATATTAGTATATATAATTGGAATTGTATAAACAAACTAAAAAAAATTACTTATATAATGTTCGTATTCCTCTGTTTTAGAAATTTCCATTTAGCAGACGGCTGTTTCTGATAAACTAAAAACAACTACACTAGGGTTTGTCCCATGCTTATATTTATGTTTATTTCCCAAATAATAATCCCCCAATTACTTAAAAAAATAAGAAAAATATGTTTAGATATTTATATAAAATAAAAATTTAGAATTATGATTAAATTATGTAAAATATATAATATATATAACCTACAAATAGTGTTGTTAAAATCCTGATTTCGATAGATTTTTAAAAACCGGCCTGATTTATATTTTAACCAAAATAATATTATGTAAGTCTCAAGATTTGATAAAAAGAACAAACATTGCCAAATATAAGCAAAATCACCAGGTCTACATAATATCATTTTGGTTAAAATTTTAATCGGCAGTTATTATATCGATCCATATTCGGTTTTTCAAGAACATAGCCTACAAGTATCTTGGTCATTTAATTTTATGTTAATTTCATAACTATATCATTTTTCTGAAGATTATCACCTACAGCTTCAACATGAAAGATAAAGATTTTCATATAAATACGAAATCCCCCCCCCTTGTCCAATATTTTTACCCTACCCCCTTAAAGTACACCCCATCCTTAAGAAAAATATATGCAGTCTTATTCACTCTTATTTAGGGTAGACCCAACGACACCCCAACAATAGAAAAATTTATATTATAAATCGAACGGCTATGGCATAAAGAATGAGAGAAGGCAGGTGTCCAAGTTACTAGTTTTAGTTTTTTATATTTAAACATATTAATTTATTTATTATGGGATTTTGATGTATAAATTTATATTCTTGGATTTTCATGATTTTTCTTCGATTTTTATTAATTAGATTTAAAGTTTTATAGGTATTTGATTAAAAACAAAAAACAAAATTTGTGTGTTAAATTAAAAATAAGAAATATAAGAAATCATAGTATAGAGTTTAAAATTCGAAATTGCAAAGTAAGTTAAGAACTGTTAAATTGATGCTCGTGACTAGAGGATATCGGAGTTCTAATTAATTCTATTTTTAAAGGTAAAAAAATTTTTTTTTATATAAATATTTTTATAAAAAATTTTAACAAAGCAATCTTAAGGTAAGTTTTTTTGAAATATGAAATGAGCTTGTGTTATGATCATTATTATAGGCCTATTTTCGATAAAGTTTTCGTTTATAAGCATTTTGATTATATTTTGTATAAAAAACTTAATCAGTTGTATATAAGTTAATCAAGTAGTGAGATATTATTATTTGTTATAATATATGTGCTATTCATTACATTAAAATTTCTGACAAGGAAATGTACCGATGTAGTGACAAAGATACAAAATAATTTAAATAAAGACACTGTGGTGTCAGATAATTATTTATATAGAATATTGGACTTGGAAAGTAATTTAAAAGAAGTTTTGAATGAAAGCAAAAGGATAAACCAGAAGTGGTTAATATAAAGGATAATCCGTGCGATATTCCGGAATGTGTGGAGAGATCGGTGGTTAACATCCAAGAATTATAAGAAATAAAAGAAGTAATCCATGTTATATATCAGGATATTTATAAATTGATTATATGAATAACAATAGTGTTAAAAGCCAAATATGTGGCAAATATGATCCATATGAAAAAATTGATTTCTAAAGGGACAAAAAAAATAGTGAAAATTTTGATGTTAAGAAGAATATTGGTAATAATATTATATGCAACCATTGTGTCTGTAGTGGACACAAAATAACCTGTATGGTTAAGGAACAAAATTTTCGTGTAGGTTTTCAGTTTAAAAAATTAATAATGGAAAATTCTAAAGTGATAAAAATTTCTGGCATCAATACAAATAAATCTGATGTATTACAATCAAATTATGACATAACGCTATACCTATAGTTAATAAATATGGTATCAATTTTGAAGAAAAGTTAGGATGTTATATGATTATCAAGTAGCGTTAAACTTAAAGATGGTTTTTCACCCATCATTTTATGGCTTGTCGAAGAGTTTCTTTTGAATGGAAAAAGGAAATAGAAGACGAGTTGAACAAATGGGTAAAAGATGGGATTATTATTCCAATTGAATAGAATAGGCACTATAAAGACTCCCAAATGGTTATTTACCTTTTGTAGGTAACCATTTAGATTAAGTGTGTCAGCGCAGATTTTTCAGCGTACAATGGCATCGGTTTTCATGGCCTAGCAGGAGTTTTTTATATGGATTATGTGTTGATTACTGGTGTAACACCGGAACAACATAATCAACGTTTGGAAGAAGTTTTCAAACGAATTCGTGTTAAAGGTCTGAAGGCCAGCAAAGAGAAAATTGTTCTTGGTATAACAAAAGTTATCTATTTGGGACATCAAATAAATGGAATGGAGATGAAATCTCTTGAAAAAAATTTGAAAAATATAGCAAATATGAAGCCGCCCACCAATAAGGCGAAGGTGTAATCATTTTTGGGTATGATAAATTATTATCATAGATTTTTGGATGATTTTGCAAAGATTGCCATACCTTTGTTTTGTATAAATTATTACAAAAGGGAGGGCATCTTGAATGGGCCAGTGAACAACAAATAACATTTGAAATGTTAAAACAAATTGGGGAAGAACCGATTTTAGTGTGTTTTAACAACTATTTAGAAATCATGTTGATGCATCTAACAAAGGTGTTGGCGGTGCATTATTACATTTAATTGACGTTTAGAAAGACCAATTTTTTTTCTAGAGTTTTCCAAGAAGTGGAAACGCGATATTCTGTTATTGAACAGGCCAAATGTCGGGAATATTTAAGCGGGAAAAAATTTATAATTTATACCGATCATAAACCATTAATTCATTTATTTAAAAAGGATAATAGAGAATTAATGTTATCACCCCGATTACAAGATTGGTTATTATTAGTGGGAAGTTTCAATGTTGAAATTAGATATCGTAGAAGCAAAGAAAATTGTTTGACCGATATTTTATCCAGGTTGGGATCGAGTGAAGAAGATCTAGACTTTAATAAAAATAAAATAATGTATAAAGAGAAAGAGAAAGAGAAAGCATTGATGTGTTCCCTATCACATGTGCTAAAAGGTGGTCCTACTAATTGGGAAGATATAAAATTAAATACTTTAAAAGATAAAGAATTGAATCAGATAAAATTATTTTTAACGGGACGGGAAAAAAACCGTGGAAAAATAATTGTAAAATTTATAAGAAAATAGAAAAAGAATTGTCCGGGTGGATGATTGTTTAATGCGAGGAGGGCCGTAATTCCTTTTAAATTACGATGTAAAATTATTTTATTACATGCCGGACATCAGGGTCGGGATAAAATGAAATCTTGGGCTTGTGAATATGTATGGTGGCCTGGTGTGTATTGACATTGAAAAAATTACAAGGAAATGTATTCCATGTAATAACAATTGAATAATGAAAATTTATTATTATCTTTTCAATGTGGCTTGGCATGGTAAAGATATTGAAAATTTGTGGGGCATTATAACATAAAAATAAAGGAATAAAAAATATTTTAATTTATTAAAGTAATTTTGTATCAGTGTTAGTGATTTGATCATGTATCAATTTTGTGGACATAAAGGAATAATAAAATAATTTTTTAATTTATATAGTTTAAATATAATATTGTCTTTGAATTAATATCAATAAAAGATTTTTGATAAGTGTATGTGTGAATATCAATTTATAAAGAAATAATTCCATATAATCATATCTTTCACACAACTCATATAATTAAAGAAAATTTTTATTTATCTCAACCAATAGTAACACAGTTATATATTTAAAATTGATTAGACTATATAAATTAAAGAATTAAAAAGTCAATTGTATGGCACCATATGACATTTTGCAGGGGCATCGCTAGCCTTTACAATCTCAGGGGGCTAAACTAAAAAAAATATTATAGGGGCTTCGCCCCATACCCCCCCCCCAATTTACGGGCCTTCGGCCTGCTCTTGCCTGGCCTTCGGCCGGGTTTTATATTAATATATTTAACTTTTTTAAAATTTGCTAACTCTGAACAATTATTCTGAATTTCATATTTTGTCATTTATTATATTATGCATACAAAATAAACTAGCACATAAATAATTAAAATATAATACTTTTCCAAAAATAATTTTTTAACACAAAATATAATTATTACAGTATAAATTATTTTCGATTGCTAATATAAAAAAATTTTGGGTTGAAAGAATTATAAGTGATAAAAAAGGTTTATTAATTCATACATATGCCTTGATAATGGTTTTTAAAAACTACATAATATAATATAATTCTTAGCAACTTACATTGACAAAAGGTCATGAAATAATATAACTCTCTGTTTAGAATGTTTTATAGAATGAACTAATAAGGAAAAATTTATAGGCCTAACCAAATCAACTTTTCTTTAAGAAGAGAATATGAACGACCAATTAAAACTATATTGTGGTTAGAGCTTCTTCTTAGATGACATGATGGAAGCTAGATAAGTAATCGAGAAAATTATTGTGAGATATTAAATTTTTAAAGATTATCTTCCATTTTTAATGATATATAAACGACTATACAGTTGACCATTATTGCTTATCTAAAATATGCAATCATATGCTCTCAGCAGCTGTAGTAATAATCTTAACTAACATAACCACACAAATAATATATCCTGGTTAATTTGCAGTCATAGCCATGACACTCACGATATTAACTCATATCAGAATTTATTATGTTAGATAAATTGATAAAACAAACACTTAAAATCTTTAGAAGAAATTATGCAATTATATTGTAGCCTTGAGTTATTTACATGGCAAATGCCATATTAGAAATTAGACATTTTGTAACTATAAAATAAGAAACAGAGTGATATGATGAAAGCAATTAAGATTTAATATATTATTGTCGCTCCACCTCTATTTGATATATCATATCTTAAAATAATAGTAGTTTGTAATAATATCAAAAATATACAGGTGTTAAAAATTTAAATAAAAACTGTTTTCAAAAATAGCTTTCCTAAAAGCACGTAAAAAAAGAAAAGATATTTAATTTATTACATCCATTGTGGGATGTAT